TATAAAAATAAAAAGACGATGGAGAATATCACGGAATTGTAATTATATAATTTCTATAGACCTTTTTACAATACGATTTTCCATAGCAACGTATGTTGCATTTCGCGCACGTGCATTATGCGTAGGGCAAAAGCGCAATAACGATAGCATACATTTAGCGCACTTAAAGTCTTTATCATAAGTTCTGAAGACATATAAACATTAAAGAAATCAACAAATTTTAACTTTTATTAACTTCATGAATACATGTACCAGTATGTAAATGTTTTTATTCTGTAATAATTGCGGTGCATATTTATTAATATATTTTAACACATTTCAAATTAGGTTAAAACGGAAGTTCAGTTTTCTGTCTTAGCCACCACAGGGTTTGAGTTCGAGTCTTACACGGGTCAAACAAACAACAGTTTATTTGTCTGACATATCATCTTATTTCATGGGTAAAATCAAATAAAGTCAATATTTTAAACACTGTTTATTTAAAAGTCTAGCTAGCTAGCAAATTCATTTGGAGGATTTTCGCGCGCAAGGAGGAATTTATTATCTTGCCAGGTAACACTGTACTTTTATTTTGTGTTGAAGCTGATATTCGGTTTATTTTGAAGAGGTCATTTCGATTTTGTATGCAGAAGCCAGAGGTGTACGGTGTACAGAGGTATTAGTTGTTTATACAGGAATTTGCATATTATATTTGTGTTGTAAGGAAGTACATCAGATTTCAATAAAGCTGAATTACACATTGCCTTAATAACATCTGATAATAAAACAGTTTCCTTTGCAGGATTTCTAGGTCGTCTGCTTAAGCCATCAGCATCAGCATTTGATTTTCCACACCTGTAAACAATTTTAAAATCATAGTTACTTAAAGCTGCTAACCAGCGATGACCTGCAGCATCCAGCTTGGCCGAGGTGGTTACATATGTCAAGGGGTTATTGTCTGTCCTGACTAAAAAAGAATTTCCATACAAATAATCATGGAATTTGTCAGTTATGGCCCACTTAAGACATAAAAACTTTAACTTATGTGCCGGATAATTCCTTTCGCTAGCACGTAAACCTCTGCTAAATGATGTACATTGTCGATCTCACCCGTGCAATATCGTGAACACTGGTCACTCTTTCTTTCTGGTAACTTATCCAATGGTTGTGTTTGTTATGTATGATTCTATGTGAGAGAGATATCCATTGGTTCTTTTAAATAGTTTTTACTTCTGCGCACTGTTTGCTTTTCCTGTCCCGCTCACTCTTTACAGTCATCTCTTACGAGTCAGACATAGTAAAAACTTAACATTTATATAGATCTACATTTACTTTACCTTTTTCAATTTATATTGAAATAGTTTAATTACAGACGCTGTGGTAAGAATAGTATTAATATTAGAATATTAATTGTATTTCTTATGTATTTTCTTATTCCGCGTCGATTGTGTATATATTGTTATTTCATTGTATTTTGTTTTTCTATGTATTGTATTTGTAAGATGTATAATTATTTTATTATATTTTTAGACCATTTTTATTTGGAGTCATTAAAAACATCGAACCTACGCCCAGAGTTTGTTTCTTTCTACAAGAAATATTTGACCCTGTGACAATATTAAGACAAGCACAGGAACCATACTGAAGGATGATAAAATACAGGGACCACATGTCACAGCAGTCGGTTCGCCGAAAACTATACTAGTTTACATTCATAACGCAAACTCCATTACACACTTACACGACATAGTATCTCGTGTACACGACTTAGTTACTCGTGTCTAAAGGACTGACGATAATATATTTTCTTGTTATCCCCCGCCGATGGAATCGGGAGGGGGATGTAGTTTTGGCGTTGTCTGTCCGTCCGTCCTTCCTTCCGCACTCTCAGGAGAGTAATTATGTGGCTAGAGGGACAATAGGTAACTGTTCTTTCTCTTTGATGTCATTCATTCCGTAATGCTTTTATGTGGCTATTTTCTTTTGTGTGGCTAAAAAGAACAATAGAGAGAACAATAGAGTAGCCACATAATTACTCTCCTGTTAGAACGTCCGTCCATCCGTCCGTCCGAATTTCGTTTCCGGAGTAGTTCTCTGCAACTACTGGCTGGAATTCAACGAAACTTTATGGGAATCATCAATATCAAGAGGAGATGCGCATATCGTCGGCTTGTTCCGGTCAGACCCTTTAACTCAGAGTTATGGCCCTTGATTAGTTATGTAGTATGCATATAGAGTAAAAATCGTTTCCGGAGTAGTTCTCTGCAACTACTGGCTGGAATTCAACGAAACTTTATGGGAATCATCAATATCAAGAGGAGATGCGCATATCGTCGGCTTGTTCCGGTCAGACACTTTAACTCAGAGTTATGGCCCTTGATTAGTTATGTAGTATGCATATAGAGTAAAAATCGTTTCCGCACTACTTCTCTGCAACTACTGGCTGGAATTCAACGAAACTTTATGGGAATCATCAATACCAAGAGGAGATGCGCATATCGTCGGCTTGTTCCGGTCCGACCCTTTAACTCAGAGTTATGGCCCTTGATTAGTTATGTAGTATGCATATAGAGTAAAAATCGTTTCCGGAGTAGTTCTCTGCAACTACTGGCTGGAATTCAACGAAACTTTATGGGAATCATCAATATCAAGAGGAGATGCGCATATCGTCGGCTTGTTCCGGTCAGACACTTTAACTCAGAGTTATGGCCCTTGATTAGTTATGTAGTATGCATATAGAGTAAAAATCGTTTCCGCACTACTTCTCTGCAACTACTGGCTGGAATTCAACGAAACTTTATGGGAATCATCAATACTAAGAGGAGATGCGCATATCGTCGGCTTGTTCGGGTCAGACACTTTAACTCAGAGTTATGGCCCTTGATTAGTTATGCAGTATGCATATGGAGTAAAAATCATTTCCGCGCTACTTCTCTGCAACTACTGGCTGGAATTCAACGAAACTTTATGGGAACCTTCAATACCAAGAGGAGATGCGCATATCGTCTGCTTGTTCGGGTCAGACACTTTAACTCTTGATTAGTTATGCAATACGCATATGGAGTAAAAATCGTTTCCGGAGTAGTTCTCTGCAACTACTGGCTGTAATTCAACGAAACTTTATGGGAATCATCAATATCAAGAGGAGATGCGCATATCGTCGGCTTGTTCCGGTCAGACCCTTTAACTCAGAGTTATGGCCCTTGATTAGTTATGTAGTATGCATATAGAGTAAAAATCGTTTCCGCACTACTTCTCTGCAACTACTGGCTGGAATTCAACGAAACTTTATGGGAACCTTCAATACCAAGAGGAGATGCGCATATCGTCGGCTTGTTCCGGTCAGACACTTTAACTCAGAGTTATGGTCCTTGATTAGTTATGCAGTATCCATATAAAAAAATATTTGTTTCCTCGCTACTTCTCTGCTACTACTGGCTGGAATTCAATGAAACTTTATGGGATACTAAGAGGAGATATGCATATAGTCGCCTTGTTCCAGTCAGATACTTATAACTCAGATTTATGGCCCTTGATTAGTTATGTAGTATGCATACATCTCATTGGCATTTCCAGATTTTACTATTTAACACAAAGTTATGGCTCTGTTATTGCCCTGAATATTTATCAAGTTCAAAGAATATTACTGTTTATGCCATGATTAATATATAAATAAAGCATTATATCTTCAGTTGTTGTGTTAATAATAACCAGTACTCGGCGGGGGATATAAATTCAACGAATTTGCTTGTTTAATTTTTAAACAACCTGAAACATACTTTGTCTCAGAATCAACTGAACTATAGGCTAAAGATTTTCAAGATAGTTGTGTTTGGATTCAAAATGACAGACCCATTTTGATATATAAATCACTAATAATTATGCAGAATTCAAGAATTATACATGTATACATTACACATTATACATTACATTATACATGATTATTTGTATAATTAATTATTTTAAGTAACATCCGCACTTGAGTTAAATAATAAAGAACATTTTAAGGAAACTTGTCCGCTGACGATTATGAAAAATTGACAAGATGGGTCAGGTATACACCTTAAAGGACACATGTATGAAAAAATTAAACTAACTTTACCCTACCGAAATCGCGTAAAGGCCACGTACTGTTCTGGACTTAAGCTTTGAGTTAAAAAGTGCCCCTTTTCAGAAATAAGGAACCTTCAAATTATCTACACAGTACAATAACCATCCTTACGAAAATGTTTTCCAATTAATTTTTGGTAAGAAACAAAACATGCATGCAGCTAACAATCCACATAAGCAACATGATTTTTATGGTCAAAATATATGAAATATGTATGAAAAATGTTACCCTAACCCACCCATAACACGCGTTTGTCATTTTCTTGCTTAGAGAGCCCAATAAAAAAAAATGTTATAATTTATCAAAATGAGTGCCTGTTTTCAAAGTTTCCTTATTTTTTTCGCAAAAGGATATTGGTTGGTCTTTTAAAACACTAAATACTTTTACTGGGTTGTTTTGATTATATTACACTTTGAAAATATCAGGTACTATATTTGTTTTTAAATTAGGATTAACCTATATTGATTAAATAATTATAATTTAACACTATTTTCTTCCCAAAAAGGATATGAGAGATACATAAATAATGTTAAAAGAAGAAGGAAAAAAAAGCAAAAAGTTGACCCTTCTTGGTCCTAAGTCTCAATGTAGTTAACAGAAGCTCTAGCCTATTTAACGGAGGTATTGCTTTAGGATGGTCATATTTTAAATGAATAATTTTGATAAGGAAAAGTCATTTGTCGATATATCAAATAGCCGTGACTTGACAGTTCCAACATAACGGTCAATTTTGACATTTAACCCTTTTCAATATTCTCAAAATGTAATCATTTCTGAATTATTCAAGACAAATTTTATTATTTTTGGAAACTTAATTTATAACGCTTTTGAACATTATTGGTGACGCCAGTTTATTTGACGATCGTTACGACTTCATTTAAAAATGCTGCATCACATTGATAAAACTGAATCACCATTTTGCTTGAAATATACCCCAATACATGTAAGTTAGTACGTAAAACGCATTCAAAATATATAATATTGAAATTGTTCACATCGTAGCTAACATTTTGATTATCAGTTTAAAGTTTACCCTCATATCGTATACATGTACACTCATTATCAAAGTAGAACACTAATATTTTATCCATTTGAACAAGTCACTCTATAAGTTTACTCTATTTTCAAAATGGCGGAGAAGGGGTGTATCTATAAAGAAAAATATGAAGTTCCCGGGAAGGGAAAACAAATAATTTGTCAACCATGTTTAAGTAAGGATAAACAAACGATAGCGGAAAAGTTTTGTTCGACGTGTGATGAATTTCAGTGCTTGGAATGTTCCAACGTTCACAACACACACGCATTTTTAAGAAGTCACGTGTTAGTGAACGCGAATGAGGCGAAAACAAAACAAAGCTCGTTTGACATGAAAGGATTAGATCAATGTTATCAACATCAGGAAGTTCTAAAATTCTTCTGCGAGGATGAGAATCTGCTCTGCTGCAGTACCTGTGCTATTGTTGATCATCGTAAATGTCAGAGCGTTGTGGAAATTCAGAAGGTCGTTGAAAGGAAAACCTACAGAGGTTCAACTTTAAAGAATAAATTGCAGGAAATGAGACAGAAGGCTAACATAATCGTAGACAGCATTGTCTCATCAAAAGCGAAACTTGATGAGGATATTACAGAAATGCCAATTAAAATCAAGCGAATGCGGGATGAAGTAATCAAAATGTTTGACGAGTTGGAAATTTCCGTTGTTAAACACGTTGAAATGTTTCAAAATGAGACATTAAAAAAGCTGACAATGAAGCAGTCACAGACCAAGAAATATCTAGCTGATATAGCAACGTGTCTTGAAACGATTGACAACGTGTATCAGAACGGATCCCTGGTACAACAGTTTATAGTAGAGCAGAAGATGAAGAATGACGTCAATGTTCTTCACACAAACGTCGGTGCAGAATGTCATGATTTAGAGACCGTGACTGTAACCTTTGATTTTGATGAAACATTAAAACTTCCCCCTCTACCAATCACTGATTATGTTCCAGGACAATTGTCTGTAAAGTTTTGTCTATCAGAAACAGCAAAAGTTATTGCTCCTGTTAACAAGGCAATGAGAACCACACTAGTAAATTCAATTGATTTAAAGCAGAAAAGAAGTAAAGAAAAAGAGCCATTGTATGCAGGGATTGATTTCTTACCTGATGGTAGACTTGTTGCTGTGGATAATAAAAACGAGAAATGTTTAGTTTACAATGAGAGGCTTAAGAAAGTAGGATCATATCAGTTATCTTACCCGCCACAATCTGTAGTTGCTGTATCTGAGGATGAAGTAGCGATAACAAGTGGTGGTGCATTAAAGTTAGACATTCTACGTGTTAACAAATCTAATGATATAACTTTAGATAGAACAATCAAAGTGACAACAAAATATTACTCGATATGTCATAAAGATGATAAATATTTCGTCGGCGAGACAAATAATCATTCATCACCTGTACGTATAATATCATCTACAGGAAAAGAGAAAGATTTCAATATCAACTTTCCGAGTAAGTCATATTCTGTGACGACAAATGCTTATACTTACATAAGGAACAGTGACAAAGTGGTGCTTACAGATAGATCCGAGCATACTGTCTGTATATATGACGTCAAGACAAACACGAGAGTCGTGGTGAAGGATGATCAGATAAAGGATCCGTGTGGTGTAGCAGTTGGTCCCTATGATACTATCCTAGTTTGTAGTAATGAAACAGACTGCATTGTACAGATATCACAAACTGGTCAGATCTTGTCATCGTACAAGATAGATATGATATTTCCAAAAAAAATTTGTGTCTCACGTGATAGATCATTTCTTGCAATAACAAACGCTGGTGAAGGTGAGATGAAACTACAAAAGTTTAAGATATCACATTGAAGACATGCATTTTGACATTATCATCTTTAACAATAAATAAATCACGATAAGTCATCAGTGTAAATAACAATATCAAAAGTTGAGCATTCTTTTTTTAATTCATGCAACTTTATAAATACTACAAATAAAATGTATGTCTTTCAAAGTTTGTAAAAAGCGTTAAAAAATCAACGTGTTGTTCATTACTAAAATATGTGCATGTATGTCGCGGAGCTATTTGTGCTTACTACCTTTTGGTCCATGGACCCGATTTTTATCAATTGATCCCTTCGATTTACAGCTAAAAATAAATTCGGAATCAAGAATTCCTTCCGATTTCTATTATGTTAAGTCATATATTGGTTTCCCATTCGGTGATTTGCAGCATGTCGTATTAATGAAAGAGAACGGGGAAGGCAGTATAAGAGACGAAACAAAAAATACTCTTAAAAATTCGGTAATTTATTTCTTACATTTGTATCTTCTACAGGAAATTACTTATTATTTTGTAGTACACAGTGTGTAATGTATATATTTTATTGCAGTACATGAATTCGAAATCTAACATTGAGAAAGTCTGAAAATCTATTTAGAGAAGTTGTTTAGTCTAAACGAAACGGTCATTCGTATCGCGATATTGTAATAAATAACGAAATGGAGAATTTTGAATGAAATGAAATGCAAACATATTCAACTATAAATTGCACTCTTTATTAATTTATAGAAAAAAATTAAGTAGACAATTTTTACGAATTATGCCATAGTATTGTTATTTTATAATTGTCTTTTCCGTAGGTTCTTTCCGGTAAATAAATAGCTCCTTGACATTTTTAAAGTAATATTTAAATCGACCCTGATTTCCCGAATTTTTGCTGTAAGAAGTTGATTCTATATTGTTTGAAGGCAATCGATTATATGGTGGTTTGAGTAGAATATTGAAATGCCGAATACTGTGACATTTTAACAACAGAAACTTTCGTCTGCAATTTGAACATGAGGTGTTATGGGTTTATTGATAGGAATGTAAACACACTGATGTGCTAGACGAGGATTTTGAAACAATTCAACAAAATTATCTCCCAATAAATCAATTAACAATAACTCTTTATTTATCACCAATGTCAAGTAGCTTTTATATCTTTGACTCGCACGAACATAATGTTAGTGAATTTCCTCATACTATTGATCAAATTGATAAATAATGTTTCATCATATAACGTGTATAACAAACAAAAATTCATTTGGTCTTTTTGAAATTCATCCCAAATTTTTCATTCCAGTGTGTGCTTTACTTTCAGTATTTATCTGGGACTTGAAATATAACTACTGTATCTTAAATCCCAGAAATAAATAGAAATTGTTGTTTTAATTTGACATGAAAAATGCATGTAATATAACTATATTAGTCCCTTTTGTTGCTACATGTATTTGTATATTTGTTACAATTATAATAATAATAAAACAGATTTTCCAAAGAAAATGCATTTAATATTCTTATCTCTTGCAAGCCCACCAAAGTTCATGATGAACAATGTCTTTTGTCCTCCATTTATCTATGATATACAATGCTGGTAAAATTTATTAACCATTTTAAATTTTCTAAGAATATCTGGTCATCACGTGACTACTAGTTCATCGTCATTTGCTGCATTGCTTGCTTGGACGCCCTTTGGTGCTTTGCATCAATGCTTTACTTGTTATATCATGCTATACCATTTGCCGCGAAACATGCTAAGGACATTTTGAAAATTTAAGTCGATGAAAGTCTTTGTTTTTTGCTTATTGACATATGAATTTTTAAATTTGTAGAAAATTAGTATATTATAGGTGAAAAAGAAAATGTACATGCTCTGATATTTTTATCATCTAATATAACTTACTACAGTAGCGACACAAACAGAACACTGTTGCATTACTGTCATGTCATATTACATTTACAAGTCTTGTAAGTCTTGGAATTACTTTCCTTACCAGGTAGGCATCAGTGAAAGCATTTTTTTTTTACTTTTTTATCTGGCCCCTCTGCGCCCTTTCTTGTCTACATAGTAGACTAAGGTAGACTAAGCCATATAAAGATATACCTACTTTAGGTAGCCAATGGCGGACATTTTATGGGTTCTCGTGGGTTTGAAATGGCCGCAACCGGCCATCACATATTTTAGTAAGTTAACTATATTATGGTCAGTTTTTTAAAAAGTTCAAGTGAAACAATTGACTTCACCTCAAATATGTTCATGTCGCAACTTGAAGATGAGTCAGTACTCGGTATATAAGCAGAACTCAGTTCACACCTTCGGAACAGCCAGCCCGCATAGCTCAATCGGTTAGAGCGCGAGACTTGTAATCTCGACATTGTGGGTTCGATTCCCGGGCTGGCCAACTAAAATTACTAATCAGTCTTTCGGATGAGACTTTAAATCGAGGTCCCGTGTATGGGTGCTTAAACACTTGGCACGCTAAAGAACCAGGAGAAGCTTCTGGAATTGGGGCATCTTTCTGTATCTGTAATTGCACTATCCTCCAAAAATCTAAAATGACTAATACTCTTCTGGAGGACTCGCCCATATGGGCAACCGGTGGCGAGTATAAATAAACGCAAATACACACACACACACACCTTCGGAACGCTGGAACCCTAAGTGCGTTAATATGTAGCATATTAACTGCTTTGGGGTCAATTTTCTCGATTTTGACCCTAAAGTGCGTTTGACCCCAATTGCGCTGTGAAATTTACCTCACTTATGGGTCGGATATACCTGATGTGTACCCCTTTACGCATAGTAAGGCAGCACACCACACTAAATGAAGCCACAGCTTCGAATGGCCAGGGGAGGATTTCATGGATATAGTGACTATTGTGGATTTAAATGACTGGTTGTCTTTAAAATGCATTTTCAGCATGAAATTTGTTTTTGTAACATGTAATATGATCATTGGCAAATTCGAAAACATGTTTAGAAATAACATGCTGTTTATTATAGATGTCAAGGCCGCCATTGTTTGTAAACATTGCTTTTAAACAGCATGCCCGGTGAAAACAAGTAATTTTACAGGGGGGTACAAACTTTCAGCAATAGCAAAAAATCTACAAGGCCAAGCACCTATTTCTTTGTGATAGTTTGCATGCATAGGGAGTTGCTAAAGCAACTAGTGACAGAGTTTCTGTAGTCCGTATATTTGCAGGTATTTTTTACCGGAGGGACGAAAAATGTTGTTTCGGGTCTCGGATCACTATAGATTTTTGGCTTTTACGGAATGAATTGGAATTTTTTTAACTGCCTGACTGTTGCACATGGGATGATTTCATTACAGATTTGCAATATTATGACATATATGTTCTTAACAAAATGTGTTTTCTTTTTCCAGGTTGTGTAGTTTGGGATCAGATTTATCAGACATATTGCTTGTAGGACATTGACGGCAGAAACTTGAAATTTAGTGTGGAGTGCTACCTTAAAGATTGAGCGAAGCTTGGTAACAGCGGGAAACCGGGCATGCGTACTTTGAATATCCGGATCAGGATCAGGATTTGTATACATGCAATGTCGGGAAATTTAAGAAGTTAGTGATGGTGCCTTCCTATTTGGTGAAAATTGGTTGACAATTAACAAAGATCTGAGAGGTAAAATAAGGCCTGGTGGTAGGTCCGCTGGCGAACCTTTCTACCTTTACTATATTTATAGTATATATATATGGATGAAATTTTTAAAAACAACTTTCCTTTGTTGTTTTATTGAAAAAAATGATTTAAAAACATTTTGAGAGTAAAAAAAAATTTATTAGTGAAAAAAAATATTTTATTTATAAAATTAAGTGGGTGTGGTCATGTACATGTGCACTATCCAAGTCAAGCACCGACTGCCTGTGCTTTCTCTGTTTAAAATACTATAGTGACGTATAGTCTATAGTAGCCGAAACTCCTTGAAAGGGACACTGAGGTTTGACATGACGGGAATGGACAAGTTTTTGAGATTAATGTTCCATTTGCTGTAGGTCTGCTGTACACCAATAAGTTGTGAGCATAATTTCAGATCATTCGCACACCCCCTTTTTCTAGTGATACTCATTCTAATTGTGAAAAAATGACCTAAATTTGAAAAGCGTTTCAACGCTTTTCATTCAAATTGGCGAAGAAAAACACAAAAATACGAGTAACAATTCATTTCTTTGTATATTTTATGATTTATAGTACGAAGGCCTTCATAAGACTTAGTTGTTTTTCTAATACAATTTGCATGTGTTGTTGGTGTAGCAAACCAAATTGTTCGTCATACGTCTACAATAAAACGGCACATGTTCAAATGTCAAATGTCATATAAAAATCCATTCATGAAAGATAAAAGTTCCTCTTCCAAACCAGAACAAAATTCTTTAAAATATTGTCCATTATTCACCACGTGCATGATTTCTTAGAGATATACATACCAAAATATGCCAATATGTAAAAAAAAAGGAATCTAACACAGGATACCAGTACAGAAAGAAACAGAGGACGCTTTTGCTGATTGTGTAGCAATTACTCAATTTGAACGTTTGATTATGTTAAAGTATCAAAAGATGCCATACATTGTGTACTTTTACTATGCTAAAGTTAGAAAAGATGCCAAACATAAAGTTTCAATAATCAATGACTTCGGCTATATTGATTCAAGGAACTTTTATCTGTTTTTTAAGTCACCACTGAGGAGAAAATATATGATTGCCGAATAATTTTTCTACTCGATTTATGAACAAAAACATGTGCAGGTTGCATCATTGACTTACGTGTCCCAGTTCGTTACTTCAAGTAAATGCAAATACAGATAATTATAATATGATTTAAAGAGATGGAAAGATATTATTTCATGAGTAAAATTAAAACACTCATTTTATACATAATCTATTAATAAAGAACGTTATGGTTAGTACGGCTGAGTATCGGAGCTTCCAGAATAAGGTTGGTCGTCTGAATATGGCTCGATGTCCGGATCGTACGGCGATAGATCGTCGTCAACCATACCTGCAGGGTTAGGATCTGGGTATGGCTGAACGTCAGGATAGTACGGTTGAATATCCGGTCGATACGGCTCATTGTCCGGGATATAAGGTTGATTATCTGGTCGATACGGTTGATCATCCGGAATGTACGGAGTGTCTGGGTTGTATGGCTGAATATCCGGATTATACGGTTGATTATCTGGATTATACGGTCCCACGTTTGGATCGAATGGCTTCAAATCTGGATCAAATGGTCGATTATCAGGATACGGTTGGTTGTCAGGATAATACGGTTGGTTGTCAGGATAATACGGTTGGTTGTCAGGACGAATGTCCGGGTCATAAGGCGTTACTCGACCGGCAGGATAGTCTGGTTGATAAGGTTGAACATCGTCGTAAATGCGACCTGCTGGCTTGTTCTCGTTCCCCATCTGTTTTATAAAATAAAATTGTTTTTTTTTATATTATCCAACTTCATATGCATGTATTAAAAAACTGAATTTATGATAATTTTGATAAAATTATTTGATTTTTTTCCGAATTTAGATAAAAATATCTATGGTGGTAAATCATTTTTGACATTTCCCTTCCATTTATTTTATCGTTGAAAAAAAAACAACAACAACATGCTTTTAATGATAAAATTTTGACCTTTTCATATAAAACCTCTTCGATGTTTTTCTCTTTAGATGATAGTTAAGAGGTTTAGCCAGTAAAAGTTTGCACGCCCTTTTGTGGTGATGCCGGTGTCACAGTAATTTCTACCTCAGGTACCACGTCCTTATTGTCTGGTAAATGAACTTCAGCGGTGTCTATAGTATTATTGTCACCTTCTACGTTTTCTGTTGTAACGTTTATAGTTCCATAGTTTCTTGTTGCTGCAACGACGTAATGATTAAATTCACTATGGCAAATGTACGTACTATACTATAATTATATTTATCACACACCCGTGACGATTTTGCGACTCCGTAAATATGGTATTGCACGGCCGTGCATATATTTTGTCGTGACGTCATTTGCCTAATACAAATATAGCGTAACGACGCGCTAAATGTCAGCGTTATACTATAGGCGCGTCAATGAAAAATGACGCTTTTTTCACTTTAAACGGTCTGTAGTTATGGTTTGTGATAAATAGAATATTAAATTCGTGTAAGTTCATTACTGAATTTATTAAACTCGTTGAATAAAATAATAGCATGCTCACCAGAGGCTCACATAATATAAATTTATTCAACTCGTTCAATGAATACAGTATTGAACTAACACTCATTCAATATCCTCTTTATGGAAAGCTTACAGATATAAGTAAAGTAAAGTAAAGAAAAGTAAACAACCTGAAACCCAATTTAGTTCTACGTGTTGAATTGACTTACATGAATAAACAAAACAAATGAATAATTCAAATTTAAATAGCAAAATTAAGATTAGAGCAAAAATTTCAAATATGGATCCTTCTCCGAAGCGTAAATTTTTACATTGATATCTGCGGTATAAAATAGATTTGGAGGTGAGTGACATCGGTTGTTTAGTTTTACAGATGCAATGGCTTTTTACGCACCTACGAGTATGGCTCCTTTATGTCTCCTTTTAGCAATTCAGTTGTAGACATATCAATGTTTACGTGAATAAAATATAGTGTCAATTTTCAAGTTACCGGCTTTTTTTGTTGTTCGTATAAAACAAATTATCGAACACTGCTTAATATGGAAGATTTCATTGCATACATATATCTATATACTGCATTGATCGAGACTATATATATAAGATTTTAGAAATATATAAAGAGTTGGCTAAGTTATGACATTAAATATAAACTTGGGTAGAATCAAAGCACTGAAAGGACGTAGAAGACCCTACCCTTGTATAACTAATAATATTGAGATATTAAGAAAATTGCCTGATTTAGTTAGTGTCATATTTATTGGTGTTTTATGCTTCTGTGGAGTTCCTTTAATAGCAAGTCAATGGAATGCGTCGTCGCTTATCTCCCCTTTAAATTCTAAAGACTCCATTTTGAAGATATGATAAATTGTTTAACATTTCTGATTTAGAAATGAAAATTATATCCGGATTATAAATACAGATAATACGTACCACGGAGGAATTCTGTTTTATGTAAATATTTTCTTCTATAACAGCAGTGTATAATGACAACAACAACCACAACGAGGAGCAAAAAACCGACAATACTCCCAAATATAATCTCAGCAAGATATCTGAAATAAAATCTTTAGTTAGATAATATATAGTATAATGAGTTAGATATAAATAATATTTCTGAAAGCCAAAAGAAAAAGTTTGATTTAAATCCAGTAAAAAATCATTGCTAATTGCTAATATGCTACAGACGCAAAAGATTGTGCAGTTTTATGGCAGACCATGAACTTTTTTGAAACAATAATAATTAATAGCATCTTAGGCTTAAAACTTTAATATCTATACATTTGTTTGATATTTTTAAATTAAAGGAGAAACAAATCAGACCTTGAAAATATCAACACTGATTGTGTTTTATCTAAAAGACTAAGTATGTATATTTTAAAAGAAGTAAGATTGAAAACAATCATACTTATTGTGACAGCAGAAAGTATTGTGAATTGTCCCACAGCATCCGGTGTCACAAAGCCGAGTTTTTAGTTTTCCAAATTTGTCTCGGTACGGACAACTGTATTCTCCTTTTATGTAACCTGTGGTAAGATAACATATCCTTTTATATAACCGTGTGGTAAGATAACATATCCTTGTTTATAACCCTGTGGTAATATAACATATCCTTTTATATAACCGTGTGGTAAGATAACATAATCTTTAATACAACCTGTGGTAAGACAACCCTATATTTTATATAATCCTGTGGTAAGAAAACATATCCTTTTATAAGCTGTGGTAAGAAAACCCTATATTTTTATATAACCATGTGGTAAGATAACATAATATTTATATAAGGTTATTTTTTTGCCTTGATCTTGAAATAAAGAAATAACACACAAAACCCTTACCAAATTGTACAAGAAATAGAATAACACTAAAAACTAACATCCCACCAAAGCTCGTGAATTAAAATAGCAACAGTTAATTTTGTAAATTTTATGCTAGATAATAAATGAATTTGCGTATAATCAATTATTTGTTTATCTTCATTCTAATTTGTATTTTCCGTTTAGATTTCCGCTTAAATATCCAACTTCCTCTTATACTTCATGACTTACAACTTACAATCAAGTTTTTAAAAAACCTTCAAACCGTTGAGTATCAAAATTGCAGCTTCAGTCAGTATATTTTACATTTTCCTGGAGTGTTTATGTGTTTATTTTCTATGAACAACAATAAACAAAATTTTGACTGGTCTTGTGACGCGTTAACTGATTTCACGTGAAAATTGCTCATTTCCGGTTCTCGTTATATTTTGATATCCTGTTGACTTGGATAAACAGATAAATTTGTATTGTGTTTTACATGTATACATTATTTGAAAACTAATAATTACAAAATGTCTATTTCGTTATGGTGGATTTTGATCTTTTATACTTTGGGTAAACGATTTATAATGTTCTATATGTTGTTCTTTACATTATTCCTTAAAGCAGCACGCCTCCAGATTTATACTAATTTTCATGCAAACTTTGAAAATGTATTTAAAAGTAGAATATTGTGAAGTGAATATTCTTAAGTCACGCATTAGAAATGCATGAATGTTGCAGAATCAGTCATATATCGCACATAAAATGTAAATTATTTCTTGAATATTTTTATTTTTCTTAAAATCATTGAATATTTAAGTTCTCAAGTTTGATTTTCTGAAAATAGTTTTGGCTCATCTGGTCGCACCCAGCTGTAAATAGATTTATGAAGTTTCTTGATATTTATGTATACATGTAATTTGTATAAAATACTAGTATCCTACTTCATGTGTGGATCAAAACAAACAATATGCTTACTTTTTTGTGGTTATCTAGTTTTAAAAGAGTAAACCACATACCTTTATAAAAGGAAAATTCGGAAATAGGAGACTTTCGAAAAATAAAAAGCAAGGTAACCAACAAAACTGACCTGCATGATTGTAAACATGAATTCTTTCTATGAAAAATGAACCAGTTAAAGTGTGATTATAACAACACTTCTAACACTATCGGAAATTTTCCTATATAGACAAAGAAGGCCGGGAGCGTGCATTATTCTACAACAATGCACTCGCCGTTTATACTTTTTCTTGACGTGTTAGAATGGAAATAGATATTAATTCTTCGTGCATTATTGTATAATAATGCACGTTTTTCGTTCAAATGCGTTCTACAACAATACACCCAGAATTGATATCTATTTCCTAAATATAACCGGAATCTACCTAATTGCCTAATTATGCAATAGATAGAAGCTAGTGAGGACAATAATTAGATAGAAATTGGTCAAAATCCATTCTCTGGTTTAGTAGAAAATATACCTTACGATGGTTGACATACAGCAGAAAAAGCTGACACAAATATGCTTTAAAAGTTCCGTTAATCTGAACTACACTGTACTTGTGCAGCATTCAGATTTGTCTATTATGGTAAATGAGTTTCTTTATTTTTCAGCTTGTTTGGTAGCACTGACAGAATGCAGCATGTGTCACAGGAATGACTATGATGGAATACATTACTTCTACTGTCAAAACAGTGCCTGCTGTGGTTCTTATAATAACCAATATTGCTGCACGTAAGGGCATTTTCAGTATCAGTTATTACAACTTCTTTATTAAAGATATTTACTTAGCGAAACGATTTCTTACAACTTATATTAATCACTTATACGAATCCGCTTCCAGGAATCAACCAGTAGTGGTGACAAGTGAGGTGAGGAAACGTGATCGTTACAACGAGTAAGGCTCGAACGCATGATCACCGATTTAAGAGGCAAACACCTTAACCACTAGGCCCCCACTCCCCCAATTGTCTGACTAGAATTATATACTTTAGAATAGCATTAACGAGGTTAAAATTTCTGCACAGGTTAAGAGAGATGACATGAACCAAGCAAATTTAAAAAAAAAAAACGAACGAAAGAAAATGTACAGAGTGTAATGCACTCGAAGATGATTTCCATTTGTTATACCTTGTGAACTAAGAACAAATTATTTACAAAAGCATTACTGGTAAGGGGATCGGACATAACTAAATTTATCGAATTTATGTCTAATGAATCGTCTGTCGTCTCGAATATGTATAATACATTTGAGCCGCGCAACGACAAAACCAACATAGTGAGTTTGCGACCAGCATGGATCCAGACCATCCTGCGCATCCGCGCAGTCTGATCAGGATCCATGTTGTTCGCTTACAAAGCGTATAACAAGTAGAGAAACAAATAGCGAACACCATGGATCCTGATCAGACTGCGCGGATGCGCAGGCTGGTCTGGATTCATGCTGGTCACAAACCCATTGTGTTGGTTTTGTCTAAAGAAGTACCAAACGAGGTTCTTTTCAAAGAAAGTATACAATTTTTTTTCTTACTTAAAAAAACCCTGAAAATGACAAAAATATATATCATCATTGCCATAGGCTGTTTTATTTATATTTATTTTGCAGCAAAACCGAAACTATTGTTGGCGCCGTCATAGGTTGCCTTGCATTTGTTATCATCGTTGGATCAATTATCACGTGCTGCTGTTGTGCGTGCTGTCCCGTGCATCAATATAGGACACAGGGTACAGTGATAACAACCCATCACCCAGGTCTGTATATGAATCAGAGGTCTTTAGTATAATAATAAGTCGGCTGTTTCCGAACTCTAGCGTGCAGTTTATTTTACCGAACTGTTCGGCATTGTTCTTCTGACTCTCTGTTGTTCATCAAAAAAATCGAAATCTATTTTTTATTAAGTTATTTGCTAGAATGGAAATTAGCGACTGCTTCTTTTAATTCTTACTGCTGTAAATAACTTAAAACAGCAAAACAATTAAAAGGAGCAATTAATACATGATTTACGGACAGACATGAACTTATAAAGTAGCTTTTAGTTTCCTCCTTGCTTTAAAGGGTCTCCACTGACTTTTTTAGACATGACGCAGCCGAAATATATTTTCCGAGATTTGTGTACTAATTTGTATAACAATTGATATATGTCTTATCCAATAACTTGTATATTTTCCGAGATTTGTGTACTAATTTGTATAACAATTGATATATGTCTTATCCAATAACTTGTATATTTTCCGAGATTTGTGTACTAATTTGTATAACAATTGATATATGTCTTATCCAATAACTTGTATGCAATTTTTGGGGGCGTCCGTGGCCGAGTGGTTAAGGTCGTTGACTTCAAACCACTTGCCCCTCACCGCTGTGGGTTCGAATCCCGACAGGGACTTTGGATTCTTTCATGTGAGGAAGCTATCCAGCTAGCTTACGGAACGTCGGTGGTTCTACTCAGGTGCCTGAAATAATGCACGGAAGGGCACCTAAAGTCTTCCTCCACCAGTAAAGCTGGAACGTCGCGATATGACCTATACTTTGTCGATGTGACGTAAAACCCAAAACAAAACAAACAAAAAAAGTATGCAATTTTTAACTTATTCCATCATCATGTTTTTCACGAATAATCATTTTTCATGTTAAAAATAGCCCCAAAATGAATTTTCGGTTATTTTTCACAATAAGAATAATTATCTGGAAAAACGGAGTGAGTGAATTGTTTGGAATTTTGTATATATAAGTTACTGGTCTGGACCTACATGAAATGAAACACTTATCTTGAAAAATTAATGTCAAAAAACATCAGTGGTGTCCCTTTAAGAAATAATTAACAATCGTGGAAACGTGTGATAATCAATTTATTTTTTCTTTCAGGACCTAACTATCAGACAATTCCGGACACAAACCCATATCCGCCTAGCACTGCACCATATCCGGAAAACGTTGGCCCATACACGGCTCCACCACCATATCAAGTTTAATAAAAACCACCATGTGTAAAATGCAGTGCTATTTCTTCGAAACTGTTTTTATAATGTTATCAATATATTTATATATCTATTATTTATTATGTCACGTGACTCTGTGTGTTAGATGCCAGTTATTAATGCGGCGAGGATATGTCTTTATTATATAAATTATGATAATTATAATTAAATGTGAACTATATTCGATATTTGATTCCTAAAATCGAGTTTAAATTTTTTTGCTGAAGACGGTTTTTGTAGAATTATAAAGCAAAAGATATGTATTCCCGAACCCCTTTCTGAAATAAAAATAAAATTTAGAAACTATTTATATATTTACTTAATAAACGTATTCACCCCTCAGAACTCAATGTGGGATGGATATTAGATGCGTTGGAGAAATGGCTGGTATATAAACTTGCCCCTGTGAGGCCCATCCTCAATTGCGCAGAACCCCATATGGTGGAGTAGTATAGGGGCCTCTTAAGCGTCACGACTGCGCATGCGCGGCGGCCATTTTGTTTTCTATAAATAATAACTCATTTGCATAGAAGAAATGACCTCACTACACATGCGTGGCGGCCATTATGTTTTCTATAATTAGTAACTCATTTGCATAGAAGAAATGACCTTACTACACATGCGCGGCGGCCGTGTTGAATAACAGACGCGCGGCGGCCATTTTGGATTATTTTTTAAGAATGACATCATTACGTTATAAATAGAAATAAAAAATATCTCCCGGAAGTATACGGAGCTGACTCGTATGCACGATCTAAGGGCTTGAATCGCGGACATTTAAGGTCAGGTCCTCGGCCCTAGACGGGGAGATAATCACCATTATTATAACTACAGATAACCTTTGTATAAATACGTGCTTAACTACACATATTAATTAATAAAATCATTGTTCGAATAAAGTAGAATCTCTTAAAAAAATGCAAACGGCTTGATTATATTTTTAATATGTTTATAATAAATTCTTATTTATACATTCAATAAAAAATATTACTTGTTGACTCCTCGGCGACCCGAATCCAAATGACACAAATCATCAGTGAATTATTTCTAAATGCTCTGATCACGAGTGTAAAGTCGCCACAATGTCTGGCGTGTGTTTATTTAGGGACGGAAACACTAACAATGGCCTATTGAAATGTTAAAGTTAATCCCTTTAAAGTAGCCACTCGGTCTGACGTATGTTTATTTAGGGACGGATATGTTTCGTCTTTTGTGCAACATTTTACGATATACATTTTGATTTTTTTCGCATCAAATGATAGACCTGACAGAATGCTTCAAAATAAACCCTAGGTTCTCGATTCGATTTTTAGCTGTTTTCGAGTTATGGCCCATTAGCGGTTTTTTTTAACCATTTTTTTAAAGTTCATAAAACCCTTAGATTTAGATGCCGTGTGAAAGATCTCTGCCAGTAGATACAGAAAATGTATTATTATATAGATCTATCTTTTACTGTTTCTGAGATAGGAGAGTTTCAATATGGCAGACAAAATCACTCATGCGGAAAAACGCGCATAACTTTTTCGTTTATGAACGAAACATAGTCATGTTTGGTATCAAATTGAAGGTCTTGACGAGTACATTCTGACGCTGGCGATAGTAAAGTTCATACTGGAAGTCAAAATCACTCATGCGTAAAAAAAAAAATATATTTTGGTTACTAGAGCAAACGAATCCGATATGATTTTTAATTGTTGACTACCAATTGAAAGAACAGTTCATTACCTTTAATTTACACCCCCCCCCCCATTGTCGATTCGATTTTCAGCCGTTTTTGGGTTATGACGCAAGAGCGATTTTAAACCCTAAATTGCGAGAGTCAATAAAAACGTTACAACTGTTTACCAATCGATTCGTCTCGTCGCGCTGATTAAGAAAATATATAGTTTTATGGGTTTATCTTTTATCGTTTTTGAGTAATTCGAGTTTAAAGTCACCGGAAGTGATGTCACAGAAATTTCAAAATCGATTTCTTCGTTATTTCTTGACCGAATATATACGTGTTTGGTATCGTTGGTAAACATTTTACCACCCCTGTTACCTGACGCTATTCAAAAAGCCATTGGACCGGAGCTGAAATCACCGAAGCGTAAGAACGTGTTTTCTGTACCACGCCTGGACCGATCTTAGGCGTGTTTGGTATCAAATGAAATGTCTCAAGCCGCTCTTTATGAATACGGACTAAAATCGAAATTAAAATCACTCATGCGTAAAAATCATTAAAATTACTAAAATAAGCTTACCCCCAGTCTTTACTCCTTGCCTATCAAACTATTTATGACAAGTTACTATAGCCTATCGTTTTCGGTCCAGTTACGACAGGTTTAAACCGGTATTGCTATTTTTTATCAACCAATCAAAATGGAGAACGATGACGTTCTTACCAAAAATAGATATGACTTGCCCAGTGGAGAGTATATAAGAGAGCGCTTTAGCCCCCTTTGTCATCCTGACTTCAGAACTCTAGGGGCGGTGATTGGCAACCAGAAACACTTAATGATTGGCTATGACAATGCGTCAAATCTTGGAAAATGTTGACGTTGAGGAAAGTGTTTCATTTCGAAACACATCCCTGCATTATCATTTAAACTTTATCAAATGGATAGGGATTATTGTGATTGCCTTGATATGTACTATACCTGTTTTCTTGATTTACGTGTAATCGGATTGTGGTGTACCAGCCAACGATGGAGACATACGACCAAAGTTGAACCAAACTGTGTGCACTTTCGTTGAGCAGTTTCATCTTCATGACAATTTATATGCTACAGAGTGCAATCAGGCTAATTATGTATTCCTAGATATTAGAGAGTTCATTAATGGAACGGCTACAATTCGAGGCATAGACTTGAACCTACTTCAGTGGATAAGCCTAAAGAGGTTTACTTCAAGTATAGACAAGGTCATGACACTGCGGAAAGAGTTAAGTATAATAAGTAAATACATATTTCCGTTTATATTGTAGCGGAGAGATTACATGAATTAAGAGTGTAATTCTTTAAGTCACCGCCGCCGCCGTCACCTCCACCGCCGCCGCCGCCGCCACCTCAACCGCCGCCATCACAAAGAAAACTGTCTACAGCGTAAGAAAGATGATCATATCAATAGATGGAAGAATACCGCAGTGTACTTCTGTGACCACTTTAATAATGAATCAGAGTTCTGTTTGCCAGCTGTCTTTCTCAAGACGTGACGTCATGCTGAGACATCAACGTTATGTACATGGGAGTGATGACACTGTTAAAAGTGATTCTTTATCCCAACAAATCACTCATAGGGACACTTCAGAAAAGATGAATTTTCAACGCCCATTTTCCATGGTCGTCTCCGGGCCTAGTGGTAGTGGAAAAACTGACTGGACTAAAACACTGCTTTTATCCGATCTAGTAAATCCGCCACCAGAGCGCATCATATGGTGTTACGGGCAATGGCAGCCTCTGTACGATGAACTTCAACGTAGAATACCCTGGATAGAATTTGTACGAGGTATCCCCGACTACTTGAATAGTCAAGAGTATATTAATACCCGTAAAAGGAACTTGATTGTTTTTGACGATTAAATGACAGAAGCCAAATGCGATCAAAGAATTGCTGATCTTTTTACCAAGGGCAGTCACCACAGAAACATATCTATTATCTATCTTACCCAGAATTTATTTCCTCAAGGAAAAGCTTGCAGGGACATCGCTGTAAATACCCAGTACCTGATATTGTTCAATAATCCTATCGACAGACAGCAAGTGGCGACATTGGCCAAAAGAATATATCCCACATCCAGTGCCATTTTTATGAAACGGTTCGAACAAGCTACGTCGAAACGTTACGGTTATTTGGTTATAGATCTTAAATCCAGTACACCTGAACATAATCGTTTACGTAATGACATTTTTGAGGCCAACAATCCAGAACTTAGAAAACGGATGGATATACCTCCGGAGAACCAGTTACACGGTGAAGGTAATTCGTCTGACACGACGATAAATGACGATGATGATGATGATGATGAAGATGCAAATGATGATGAAGATGCAGATGATGATACTGATAAAGAGCATACAGAGGGTGGTGATAGAGGTGTAAAGAGACAAGCTTTTTTTATGGGACCTCCTGGTAAGCGTATAAAAGAAGAGCTCAAAGAAGAACGCAAACGTCATGACATATGGGATAGAAGATTTCAAAAGCCTTTACGACAGTCTTGTAAAGAACAATTTAAAGACGGGCTAAACAGTTACATAGATCAAGAGTTCTCTTTTGATGAGGCTTATGCTCGCACTGCTAATGATGCGTTGCCACATTTGAGAAAGAAGATGAGACAAAATTATGCCCAGTTTCTGATTGACTTTTACGCATTACAAGAGGACCCCACTCAGCAACAAATTCTCCAGTCAGCGAAGAAACTTAGACATCAGCACGACATGACCATTGAAGAATCTATCCGACAAGCCGTTAAACTTAGAAAAGACCGGTTTGAGGCGTTATGGCCCAATCACGACATCAAGGATTTTAATGGTGAGAATAATAAAGATGATGACAATGAAAATCACATATCAGATGGAGAATAAAAATACCGTAAGAATGATCTTTGCTCCTTTACTTTCAAAACCCAACATGGGTTCCATAGAGGTGTACAATCATAAACAACAAAAATGGGTGCCGTATATAAATGAACCAGATAAATGGTATCAGCATTTTAAAGATTTGAGAGACGGTTACGTGACACCCGATCATAGAGGCCGGTACATTATAGGTAGCGGTAATTCGCGTAGAAGGTTCGTGACACTAGAAACGAAGCTCAAAGAAACGGAGAAAAAGCTTAAAGAAACGGAAGAGAAGCTTCAAAATGCACAACGCCCTGTGGTTGATATGGTTAGCTCCGTGCCTCAAGCGGTTGAAATGGCAAAGTCGGAAGTAAAACGATTACGTAATTCCAATATAGAAACGTCGGCGCCTAAGAAGCGTAAAACGGATATTGACTGGACTTGGTTCACTTTCTAAAATGGATAATTACCAGCTAGAAAATATATTGAAAAGATACCCAGTGACAGTGTGTGCGGCTGATGAAATTCGTAAACAAAACGGAAGATTTGTGATTTCAAACACAGATACGAGTAACGGACCGGGAAAGCATTGGGTAGCCTTCTATTTTCCTAGACACGGACCTTACGAATATTTCGACTCGGTTGGAAATAGTCCAGAAAGCTATGGCGTGGGATATGATAAGATACTTAACAAGAAATATCTCAGAAATTACGGCCAACTACAACAACTTTCGTCTAATGTGTGCGGCCTCTACTGCGCATACTATGTCATAAAACGATATCAGGGAAAGACTTTAAAAAACATCGTCAAAGAATTTGATCTGTATCAGAAGAAGCACAATGATCGTTCAGTAGTGTCTAAAATGAAGAAACTAATTAGAAAAAAGAAGTGACAAAACAAGTATATCACTAGCTTTAAAACAATGTTCTGTATGAAATAAAAATATAAATTACCATGTGTTTTGTTTTATTTATTCCCATAGGAATAGCCTTATGCTACTGCTATTGCCCCGTAATACAAGACAACTAGTCCCCGCCTCTCTCTGTTTAGTCCAATCATGTTGCAGTTAGACTAATGAAAATGTGCAAGTACTGTCTTATCAGTGACCAATGAAAACGCTTCTTTTACTCCATTTATTACGATTAACCGTAGCGATTCATTCATTTCCGATTTAGATTGCGAGGAGTAAAGACTGGGGTAAGCTTATTTTAGTTATTTTAATGATTTTTACGCATGAGTGATTTTAATTTCGATTTTAGTCCGTATTCATAAAGAGCGGCTTGAGACATTTCATTTGATACCAAACACGCCTAAGATCGGTCAAGGCGTGGTACAGAAAACACGTTTTTACGCTTCAGTGATTTCAGTTCCGGTCCAATGGCTTTTTGAATAGCGTCAGGTAACAGGTGTGGTAAAATGTTTTCCAACGATACCAACACGTATATATTCTGTCAAGTAATAACGAAGAAATCGATTTTGAAATTTCTGTGACGTCACTTCCGGTGACTTTAAACTCGAATTACTCAAAAACGATAAAAGATAACCCCATAAAACTATATATTTTCTTAATCAGCGCGACGAGACGAATCGATTGGTAAACAGTTGTAACGTTTTTATTGACGTTTCGCAATTTAGGGTTTAAAAATCGCTCTTGCGTCATAACCCAAAAACGGCTGGAAATCGAATCGACAATGGGGGGTGTAAATTAAAGGTAATGAACTGTTCTTTCAATTGGTAGTCAACAATTAAAAATCATATCGGATTCGGTTGCTCTAGTAACCAAAATATATATTTTTTACGCATGAGTGATTTTGACTTCCAGTATGAACTTTACTATCGCCAGCGTCAGAATGTACTCGTCAAGACCTTCAATTTGATACCAAACATGACTATGTTTCGTTCATAAACGAAAAAGTTATGCGCGTTTTTCCGCATGAGTGATTTTGTCTGCCATATTGAAACTCTCCTATCTCAGAAACAGTAAAATATAGATCTATATAATAATACATTTTCTGTATCTACTGGCAGAGATCTTTCAAACGGCATATACATCTAAGGGTTTTATGAACTTTTAAAAAAATGGTTTAAAAACCGCTAATGGGCCATAACTCGAAAACAGCTAAAAATCGAATCGAGAACCTAGGGTTTATTTTGAAGCATTCTGTCAGGTCTATCATTTGATGCGAAAAAAATCAAAATGTATATCGTAAAATGTTGCACAGAAGACGAAAAACGCTTTTTCTGTTGTATTTTTGTTCGGTTTTAGTTAACATTAATTATAGTTTTTTTATATAATTTTGCACATTCGTGATGATCAGTTTTCAAAACGTTTTTTTCCAAAATGAGTTTAAATTTATGCCCTAGTGGTAAACTGACACTTCAATAGCTTATTGCTTTACCGCTTTTACTTTAGACGGGTAAACTTTGACAGTTGAATGGAGCATTGTCCTCATATCCGTCCCTAAATAAACATACGCCAGACCGAGTGGCTACTTTAAAGGGATTAACTTTAACATTTCAATAGGCCATTGTTAGTGTTTCCGTCCCTAAATAAACACACGCCAGACATTGTGGCGACTTTAAGGGGATTAACTTTGACAGTTAAATAGGCTATTGTTAATGCATCCGCTCTTAAATAAATAAACGCTCGACTATGTGACTATCATCACTTTTGATACACTCGTGATCAGAGCATTTAGAAATAATACACTAATGATTTGTGTCATTTGGTTTCGGACCGCCTACAAGAAAACAAGTACTATTTTTATTCAATGTTTATTATTTATTATGACCATATTAAAAAACATAAGCTATTTGTATTTTTTGCCTTTTGATTCTACTCTTTTATTAATTAAAATGTTAAGCAGGTATTTATTTACACACATTTCTTTTATAAATGATGATATTTACCTCTCCGTCTAGGGCCGAGGACCTGACCTACAATGTCTTCGATTCAAGCCCTAGATCGTGTATACGAGTCAGCTCCGTATACTTCCGGGAGATATAAAATGAATTTCTAAATATAGAACGATAATGTCATTCTAACTATAAAATCCAATATGGCGCTGCACATGCGCAGTCGTGATGCCAAAGAGGCCCCTATACTACTTGGTGGGATGGTTAGAGGTCTGACCGTGTTTCCGCTAACATAGGTGTTTCCATCGGTAATACTCTGGTATTTGGACGACATGGAGGCGAAAATCAAATAGTCATTTCAGATCATATCTCGCCATTTCCGGCTGGCCCATGTGAGCCCAAGCCTCAAATACGCAGAACCCAATATGGTGGGATGGTTAGGGGGTCTAACCGTGTGTCCGCTGGTATAAGTGTGTCCGTCGGGAATACTCAGGTATTTTGCGGATGTTGAGCCGAAAATCGTTCTATAAAAGGTCATTTCAGCTCATATCTCGCCAATTCCGGCTGGACCCTTAAATCGAAATGAAACTGATCGTTTTAGCCCTCATTTTGCCATTTCCGCCTGTCCCCTGTGATACCCAGAACCAATCACGCAGCTTCTGTGAGGTCAAGCCTCAATTGCGAAAAACCTCGTATGGTTTGAAGGTGTGAAGGTTTGACCGTGTGTCCGCTGGTGTAGGTTGTCTGTCGGAAAAACACTGGCATTTTGCCGAGTTCAAAAATTTAATTGTGAATGGCCAGAGTTCGAGGAGATAAGTAATTTGAAATTACATTATGAAATAAACCTATGGTCTTTTGTATCTTCTCTGGCTAGCCGATTCAGCCGCAACTCATATATCTCTGCCATCTGCTTTAAACTCATTCATTTCTATTGTTACAATAATTATCGCATGGTTTGGAACTTTTTCTTTGTTCTTACTAACCCAATAATATATATTGATATATAGCAGTACAGTTTTTTCATTGATTTATATAGGAAAAAATTCAACTGCTATATAGCAGTTGAGTTATTTTCGCACCTTCACTGCGGTTCCAATGGGACATTCCCAAGAAAACAACAACATAAGTAAGAAAGAAAATTAATGAAATGAAATTATGAATTTATTCTTATATAATTATGCAACTGCTGAAATCAAAAGGTACATCCGCTGCATGTATAAAGCCAAAGCCCGAATAACCCGTCTCTATCATCGGACTCAATATTATATATAGCTGTAAGGTAGCTTACGACATCATTAGCTGATATTGGTTCATATTATCTGGGAGTGAGAAGGTGAAAAAGTGAAAGGGCACGTAGAGAGAAATGCACGTTTTTTTGTTATTTTTTGGTTTTTTGTTTGTTTGGTTTTTTTTTGTAATTTTTTCTGATTTCTAGTAAAAAAAAAATAAAATGCGATAAAATAGTTATAGTATATGAAACTCGTTAGTTACGAGGATATAACACTGGCTGGGGCGACATCTCGGGATGTTTCGGCAAAATAATTGTCTCGTCCTAACGGCCTCGACATTTTTTAGCAGAATGTCGCCCAAGTCAGTATTATATCCTCGTATACTATAGCTATTACATAAGCATCCTTCATTTATTTAGAGGGGCATTCAAGTGCATTTCGTTTTAACTAATTTTGGAAACAACTAACAGCTCTAGTGTTTCGTATTCAAAGTCCATCACAAGATATCATGATGTATAATAAAACAATTCTCGATGTTCAAAAAAATCCGTTTTCTATAAATAAATAAGTAAAAAGTTTAAATAGTAACAAATTTCACTTCTTCTTAGTAATCTTTGAATAAGCTAGGGTTTTCACGATGATTATGAAAATCCACCAAGTAAAAACCGTTTTGTATCCCTTATTTAATCATTCTTCAACCGAAAGTATTATTTCTGGTACAACATCTTAAAGACTTAGTTGAATAATATAAATTTGTAACTGGAAGAAAAATTAATTGCGTTTAGTATATTATTTTTGGAATTTAAATAAAGTTTCCTGGGCGATGTATTTTAATACAGCAATTATTTTTATACTGTCATTAGGTAAGTGGTATATAGCATAAGCCTTTATCCTTTTACGGTTTAAAAAATAAGGGAGGTTATTTTCCCTTTTACCAAAAGAACTTGCTTATGAATGTCATTATTATAAAAGATTTGCCTGAATCATACATGGATAGCATCAGCAATATATGGGACTCAGTGTTAAGCAAATTGACCGGCAATCCAGCGAACCGTGGTTCGAGTCCCGGCTGCGACGCGCCGATCTTTCATGTGATAATTTTGTGTGGGCGTATAGTAAGGCACATTTGTAGACACCAGGGCGTCTAAACCATTAAATTAAATACAAAATTGTAAACCATTTTCCTTTCGCTTTTCCTTTTTATGTTTACACTTTTATACAAATTGTAACGAACCTTCGTCGGAAAGTTCATGTCCCTGCAGACATTCGGATAGGTAAGCAAGTTTGTTATTTTTCCTAATCGAAATCCATATCAAAACTGTAAAACAAATTGTCACAGAATAGTAGTATTTTAAAAACCTAAATCAACAATTCACACGGAGTTCCTCTGTTATTTCATAAAATGCCTTTCTTTTACGGACAAGATCAAAATATAACCCTGTAAATTTCACAAGATTTTCATTTTTGTTATAAACAGGTCATGCACTTGGCGAATACCAATGTAAATACTTGGACCAGTTCGAAAAAACACGAAGTATCGTCTGCGAAACGGGTTGCTGTGGTGACATACATTTGGCTTACTGTTGCCATAGGTAATAATAAAAACTTATTGCTTATTGCAATGGAATTACTTATTTTTATAACGAAATGTCTATTGGCATACACTTGGCTTATTGTTGCCATGAGTAAACTTTATCCTATTGAAATAAATGGGAAAAAATATTATATGGTTGAGACTGCATTATTTTCTTCTTCATTGCTACTTAGACATACCGGTCAAAGGGAGTGGGGAATAAGCGGATACGTATCTTTTTCGGTACCTTAAAATCTACCGGTTAAATCTATAAATACAAAATTAGTGCATTAAATGTGTAAATCTTATAGCCAACACTTTTTAAAAAGTGTATTTTTTTTTATTATATTGCCTGTAAACTTGTCTGTAGGCCTAAATTAGCAGCTTACTTATCTATTCTTTTTTTTTATTTGCAGACACTGTATTTCCTATTATATGTATCTCCAGACTGTTACATTACTAAAAGCTTGATAAGTTTGTTTGTTTGTTTCATTGGATTTTACGTCACACCGACACAGTATAGGTCATATGGCGATGTTCCATCTTTACTGGTTGAGGAAGACCTCGGGAGCCCTTCCGTACATTATTTCAGGCACGAACGGGCACCTGAGTAGAACCACCGACGTTCCGTAAGCTAGCTGATAAGCTTTCTCACATGAAAGAATCCGAAAAGCGTGATAACAAATAAAAAAATCACGGTGGTAAAAGAAAATTAAATCATATTAAATACGCTAAAATTTCAACCCTTACATGATTGGACCGACACAACAAAGACTTTGTTCCAATGCTGTCTGACCAGGTTCTTTACTTTCTGGATATTTCTTCATGATAGTCGGGGAGAAAACCAAATGATTTACCGTTTGATTTACACAGATCAAAGTTGAAAGATCTAGTTATCATTTCAGATATCTGCCTGGAATCATAATTGGCAGCGTTGGCGGTATAATTTTTCTTGCTGTTCTTGTTGTCGTCATACATATCTACTATAGAAGATGCAGACGACAAGGGTATTCCAATATGGTTGAAGGTATGCACATGTAGTAATCTTTTTGTGTTTTGTCAATACATTTAACATGACTCCGTGGTGGGGCAATCAACGCCGCTGTTTTCGAATTGCCCCGCAAGTCTTCACGTAAACTGATTATCAAAAGAGCCGACGATTTTAGATTGGGGGACATTACCGGTGTATAACACTATTGCTAGTTTACAACGTATGGTTTCTCTTCTTTAAGCTCTTGTTGTTTTTAATTAGTTTATGCTGCTGCACATTGTTCATGCTGCTGCACATAGTTCATGATACTGCTAATAGTTCATGTTGCTACTTAAAATTTCATGTTGCTGCTAATAGTTCATGTTGCTGCTGATAATTCATGTTGCTATTTATAGTTCATGCTGCTACTTACAGTTCATGTTGCTGCTAATAGTTCATGCTGTTGTTTATAATGCATGCTGCTACTAATAGTTCATGTTGCTACAAGTAGTTCATGCTGCTGTTAATAGTTCATGTTGTTGCTAATAGTTCATGTTGCTACTAATAGTTCATGTTGCTACTAATAGTTTATGTTGTTGATAATAGTTCATGCTGCTACTAATAGTTCATGTTGCTACTAATAGTTCAACTAATAGTTCATGCTGCTACTAATAGTTCATGTTGCTACTAATAGTTCAACTAATAGTTCATGTTGCTACTAATAGTTCAAGTTGCTACTTATAGTTTATGTTGCTGGTAATAGTTCATGCTGCTGCTTTCAGTTCGTGTTGCTGCTAATAGTACATGTTGTTACTGATAGTTCATGATGCTGCTTATAGTTTATGCTGCTTATAGTTCATGTTGCTACTAACAGATCATGTTGCTACTAATAGTTCATGTTGCTACTAATTGTTAATATTGTTTTAATGATTAGGCTAGACTTACCTTCGTAGAAGTAAGGCGAAGGTTTATCATAATTTCATCCGACACAAAACTCCCTAAGGGCTCACACAGATTAGGAACGCAGCTACCAGCAGCCAAGGTATTCATTTTTTAGAGAAAGTAACATGTATATATTTTGGAGCAATTTTTATCGGGTGGAAGTGGGCGGGCGTGTGAGCCCTTAGGGAGTTTTGTGTCGGATGAAATTATGATCAACCTTCGCCTTAGTTCTAGCTTAATCATTAAATTTCATCCAACACATAAACTCCCTTAAGGGCCCCACAGATTGTTTAGAGCAAATTACTACGAAATATTCCAATTCCACTCAAAATAATTATACAATAATTATTATACTTATATGTACTATGACAAACAAAACCCCAATAAACATTCCAACAACATATTATTATTATTATATTTATTATATATATTTCATCATTTAATAATACTCATTTGTAATTCAAATGTTTTGTTGTAAAATTTTTCAAAAGTACTTGAATTGTTCCAGCCTGCCGCTTTGATAATTTCAGTTAAAGGAACACCTTTGTATAATGCATAAGAAGTACTGGCATGTCTTGTACTATGTGGTTTAAAGTATTCCTGAATTCCGGCTTTAACATTGTAATTTTGATCCATCTGCCGACAGTTTGTTTTGAAACTGAACCATGTGGCTTCACTGTTGATATATAAGTAACTGTTTATCTTTTCGCATGTATATTGTCCTATTTAGATATTATTTCAAAGTTTCAACAATGCACAGTCGAGAGTTATCCGGGAATGCAATTAATATTATTGGTGGTACATGTACACCTGGTCGTGTTTGTTTCAGAACACTAAATGTAATCCGAATAATAATTCTGTCAGATTGCTGCTGCTGATGGTCCATGTTGCTACTAATGAATAGTTTTGTTTTGAATGAATGACTGACATCTTGTATCAGTGCACTATATTGAGTTGGTGTTGTGTAAATGAGCTAGTGTTGTGTTAGTGAGTTGATGTTGTGTTAACTAGTGAGATGATGTGCTAGTAAGCTGGTATTGTGTTAGTGACCTGGTATTGCGTTGGTAAGCTTATGTGTCAGTGAGCTGGTGTGTAAGTGAGCTGGTGCGTTAGTGATCTGTTGTGTAAGTGAGCTGGTGTGTTAGTGACCTGGTATTGCGTTGGTAAGCTTATGTGTCAGTGAGCTAGTGTGTAAGTGAGCTGGTGCGTTAGTGAGCTGGTGTGTAAGTGAGCTGGTGTATTAGTGACCTGTTGTGTAAGTGAGATGTAGTGATAGTGATCTGGTGTATTAGTGAGCTGCTATTCTGTAAGTGGGCTAGTGTAGACTTTGTTTTTAAAGTTACATGTATTGCATTGTTGATATTTAGTTTGTTGAGTTTCAAAATGTGTTATTTCATGTTGCTGATGTTGTTTTAATGAACTTGTATCAGTATATATACAACAGCCATTTTCTAGTTTTCTCCTGACAAAACATTCATGGTTTTCAAAAAAAATAATTTTGTCAATGCAGTAATTGCATAAAATGCCATTTTTTATATTTCTAAGAAACCCGAAACTATGGTGCCATAGAGAGGACCATGTCATAGAGAGGACCGTGTCATAGAGAGGACCGTGTCTAGAGAGACTGTATAAGGGACATGTCATAGCAACAGTGAGGAAATGTGTGGAAACTTCACCTCACAAAGACATAATTCAAGAAGTGAAAACTATAGCGTGACACCAATTATGCAAGATAACAGCCGCGATAACTCAGATTCTATCAAGGGGAATACTAGAACCCGTATATTGCGAGTTTCTTTGAAGGAGAGGGAAGGTTTGAATTCTGGAATAATGAGTATTTGTGTATGCATGCAAACTCCTGCACATGCGCAAGATGAACGAAATCAGACGCTGATAGACACTTTCCGGTGATTCACTAATCACTAATCACTAATGTCAGGGACCTTGGTCCAAAAAGTTCATCAAAAGATTTTGGAGAAACGAGCGATCAAACTTTCCCCCCACAGAAATTTGCAGTCAGCGTTCCCACTGAACTACAGTATAGGGTTTGCTCCATAAATCTCGTTTTGAAGTAGGCCTTAAGGAACAATGTACAGTAAAAATCATAGAGTTAAATTAATTGAAATCATTAATACATCTTAGCAAAGACTGAAATGATATTGTAAGTCAGTTTGAAAAGAACAAAAAGATTTGTTGTATTTTTTAATTTTTTTTATTCAAATTATTCAGGAAAAAAACTAATTTTACATGTTTGAATAAAAATATCAACATTTAAAAATTAAAGATGTAACAACTTTTATCAGCATGGAGATAATACTGCAGTTTTCATGTTACAAGTTTTTGGCTTATGAATTCTACAATATATAAATTGACCAAACACCAGTATATCAGTTATAACAATGCACCAGTCAATGGTTACACAAGCCCCCCAACAACCATGTAGCGGTTTTTACCTTTCGTCTGTCAAAGTACTGCCAAGGTAAATGCTTACATTATGTTTTGGCGCGAAAATAGCCAGAGATATGTCAAACTTTAAGGGCCTATGCTTTAGCGGAGATTTCCAAAAAGGTCCCCGTTCTGAAAACCCGTTCTTCAAAGGAATTGGTTGGGGGGTGGGGGGGATGGGGGGGTTGACTTGTGTTGCAAAATGGCTGGTGCATATGTAAATAACAATTTATTACCAGTCTTTCATTCAAATAAATAACCTTGCAGCCTAAGAGACCTTATATCATATCTTGAGCTTCAAATATATGGCTAGAAAATAATTGAGCCACGTCACAACAAAACCAACATAGTGCGTTTGCGACCAGCATGGATCCAGACCAGCCTGCGCATCCTCGTAATCTGATCAGGATCCATGCTGTTCGCTTACAAACCCTATAACAAGTAGAGAAACTGATAGCAACAGCATGGATCCTGATCAGACTGCGCGGATGCGCAGGCTGATCTGGATCCATACTGGTCGCAAACCCATTATGTTGGTTTTGTCGTGACGCGGTTCATATAAAGATTACCCACAAAGATTAATATTAATTCCAAATAGCAAAAACTGTAGATAAAATGTCACAAAAGAAATTGGTCATAGAACATTTTACAAGAATACACAGAAAAGTCAAGCAATCAAAAATGTATACTTTGTGGTTACTGTAAAATACAAACTTTTAAACAACCATATTTGGATAATTTTATGCTGTAATTGTCATATTTATTGTATTTTTCAGTTTTTTACTTAAAAACGCTTACACACACCTGTCAGAATGATTGTTGTTGTTGTTGAGAATATTGTTATATCAAATAGTCTAAATAAATGTATGAAAATTATACACTGATCTTTGTTATCAAGTAAATGCACTGTACAATAAAATCATTCATTTTGACCACAGACACTTGGGGTGTGGAGCTCAAAACGCCTTTAAAATCCAAATAAAATGCATATTTGTCAATCCCAGCACATGTACTGATCTTATATATAAAAAAACTTGATCATATATAATAAAAAAACTTAATATAAGCCGTTTTGAAAAAATTTCATATTTCAACATCTATAAGTATTATTATAGACGTTGAAATATGAAATTTTTTCAAAACGGCTTATATTAAGTTTTTTTGATATATATGATCAGTACATGTGCTGGGATTGACAAATCTGCATTTTATTAGGATTTTAAAGGCGTTTTGAGCTCCACACCCCAAGTGTCTGTGATTTTGACATGTTCTGGTTTAATAAGAATTGATATATTACATATAATTAAAAAGAAGCTGTTTACAAGTGAGCATCAGTATATAAATGTCAAATCAGATATTCAATAAAAATCAGTAATAAAAAAAAGCAAAAAAGTCCAGGACATTCACAAAGTGATGAAACAATTTTTTTTATTTTATTTGTTTTTAAAAAGAAAGAAAACCTGAGCAAGAACATCAATATTATTCAAATCACTCTTGGCCGCCACTCATGAAATATTTATTTTCACACCACTCGCTGAAAATACATCCTGTTATTTAAAGAAAAAACTAATGTTAAATAAGAAACTAATGAGTACTGGTATCATATGAGGAAATAACCAGTACTGGTATCCAATGAGGAAATAACCAGTACTGGTATCCAATGAGGAAATAACCAGTACTCGTAATATATGAGGAACTAACCAGAACTTGTATTATATGAGGAACTAACCAGTACTTGTATTATATGAGGAACTAACCAGTACTTGTATCATATCAGGTACTAACATGTACTGGTATCCAATGAGGAACTAACCAGTACTGGTATCCAATGAGGAACTAACCAGTACTGGTATCCAATGAGGAACTAACCAGTACTCATATTATATGAGGAACTAACCAGTACTGGTATCCAATGAGAAACTAACCAGTACTCATATTATATGAGGAACTAACATGTACTGGTATCATATGAGGAACTAACCAGTACTGGTGTTATATGAGGAACTAACCAGTACTGGTGTTACATGAGGAACTAACCAGTACTGGAATCATATGAGGAAGCATGATCATGACCTTAGTAGGGCTCAAACTCCTGTCTCCTTGGTTTAAAGGTAACAGCAAATACCTTCACCACTAGGCCACCATTCCGTTTTTAAAGATTCATTAACCAATAGCTCATATAGTGAAACATTGTGTTAGCTAAAAAGTCAAGCCAAAAATGGCAGAAATGTTGTACTAGCTAAAAAGTTTTGCCAAAAAATGTGTGAAAAGTTACACTAGCTCAAAAGTCAAGCCAAAAAAAGGCTGAAACATTGTACTAGCTAAAAAGTGAGGCCAAAAATGGTTAGCTAAAAAGTCAAACTAAAATTGGCTGAAACTTTGTCCCAGCTCAATAGTCTAGCCAAAAAAGGCTCAAATATATTACTACATGTAGCTAAATTTGTTACCAATTCCATTAATAGTTCCATATTTGTTACCAGTTTTAATTTCTACAATATTTAGCAGAAATTGGATTTTTTAAGTATCACATTAAAACAAATTAAGAAAAAAATTATCAACTAAATATCATTAGCTTCATTCCTAAATTTATATACCCTGTGTAAGTTTCGTTTATATATTTAAAAAAATCCTTCTAAGCATAAAAAGCATGAAAGATAAAGTTGTAAGCTGTTTATACTTGTATATACAAGATTCTGGTTAAAGACAACTAACAAAGACTACAGGATTCACAGACAGCTCTTCCATTTAGGCAGACAACAAAAGCTAAAATGCATTTGGCAAACAAATATGTTCCCCATTGGCAACAAAGGTTAAAATGAGACAAGATCATGGTGATCCAGAAACTGTTTATTGGGTGATTGGTGTCATATGAGCTTTTTGTACTGATTTAATTCAGGAAATGTCAGTGGCATGTGCAGAAGGTGAAAAAAGACTATTTTCTTCCTAAATTCCAATAAAAATACATGTACTCCAATAGCATATTTACAACCAATCACATTCTCCATGAGCCGTTTTCTTGAGGTTATTATATTCATAAAGTGTTGAAGCTATTTGTTGAAGGTAAAAAAAAAGTATGAACCCCCCCCCCCCCCAATAATAAAAAAATAAATTATTTTCTAAATTCCAACTAGAAAAAGGGAGAATACTCCAGGAGCATAATAACAACCAATCAAATTCACTATGAACCTTCTTGACCTTTTGTACAGGTCACAGAATTCAATAAGTGTCAGTGCTTATAATATAGTAAGTAAGTGAAAAACATCAAATTAAAAAAAAAGTACAACATTTTTTCTACTTTCCAATCACAGAAGGTAGTATACTCTGGGGGTGGGAGGCATAATAGCCTGTCAAGACTCTCTCAAGGTTATCTTTCTTGTCACTCTGACCAGAGATGTAGATAACAGAGATAAGCAGCTCCTATTTTACTTCTCATGTCAACCAAAAAGTGAAAAATTAGGCATTTTGTAGCAATTAAAACTATCTCTGTTATCGCTGTCTCTACTCTGACCAACCAATAGCACTGACATGAAGATTAAATGATTGAACACAGTTATAGCTAGATTACATGAGCCGTGCCATGACAAAACCAACATATTGCATTTGTGACCAGCATGGATCCCAACCAGACTGTGCATCCGCGCAGTCTGATCAGGATCCATGCTGTTGTTCGCTTACAAACCCTATTTACAAGTAGAGAAACTGATAGAGAACAGCATGGATCCTGATCAGACTGCACAGATGCGCAGGCTGGTCTGGATCCATGCTGGTCGCAAACGCATTATGTTGGTTTTGTTGTGACGCGGCTCAAATGGCTATGTAATGGCGTCATATGACTACAGTTTAACAACTATTAATAAAATAATTGCTTACAATCTTAGATAGTACAAACATGTTTTAAAGTGAAAACAATATAATTTCTTTACAGGGTATAACACACAAAAATAAACCACTGATGGACGGACCAAAAAAACACCATTCACATCTCAGGTAATAATAGTTAGCATTTTCTCATGACATTTATACAGTGGTGTAGTTTTGTATAAGCTATAAGTCTGTATAAGCTGTGTAGGCACCACTTCTTTTCAGCAAAGTGAAAACTCTAATCCCCTGAACATTTTTATTGTACTAAATATATGCATACCCCAAACAAAACCTCAAAAAATCAAGAGCAAAACTATTTTTCTTGAGATGCATTCCCTTACACTTCCTAGATGTTTGCTTACACTTACATTTAGACCAAATTTATAATGCCCTTTGTTAAACATGCTGTTAACATTTTATCATGAAATCTCGCTGGTCAGAAATACAAAATATAAATTATTTAATACTTTCTTAAGACCTACTTTAAACATAAGTGACTTGTATGTAGCACACAGACTATTAAAATGTGTATCTACTGTTTACCAAGTTTGTCTCCGTCCAAAAAAAAAACGAAGTTCTGTATTTTAAGTGTCTGACCTCAAAATTAGAGGGTACATGTATGTGTATAGAAAAAATAATTTCACAACATAATTTATATATATATGCAGAAAGTAACCTTGTCAAAACGTAACAAATCAAGAGCTGTTGCTAGTACTACTCTCAGTATGTAAAACAAGAGCCTGGATATTGCAGAATTTTCTTAGTTCAAAAAGGGCTATAATTCTGTCAAAATAAATGTCAGAGTTACGGGCCATGGCCTCCTACCATGCTCTCATATAAGTGCGTGAAGTTTAAACTCATTCCCTTTCTTAAGTTTTAGAGATACCAACTTGCATGTAAAATTAAACCAAAGTTGTTGCTGACGCCTGAGTGAGTACAACAGCTCTCCATATTCTTTGAAAAGTCAAGCTAATAACAACTAGAAGAGATTCTATGTATGTTTGAAATGAAAGGTGATAGAGTGATGTCAAGGGTAAATCACAAAACAATTAAAATGTGCCCTCACGCTTTTGATGATCAATGACTGATTAAAATAAATAACTGTGTAAAAAATACACGGTTTGTGAATGTATATACAAGGTAGATGTGTAACGGATTTCTAAAAATAGATTTCTCTCCACTTTACTTGCTGCAATTTTCTATATACACCTGACTTATTGAAACAAAGTTACAGCTTCTCAAACAATACTAACGATGCTAATTTTCTAAAAACAGACCTGTCCGTTAAATTGGACCCATCCATTGTAAATGTGTGGGGAATTTATACTCAAAATGGCTAAATTTTCGATCAAATGGCTAAATTTTAAATCAAAATGGCTAATTTTTTTATCAAAATGGCTAAATTTTAATCAAATGGCTAAATTTTTAAACAAAAATGGCTATTTTTTTATCAAAATGGCTAAAATTAGGCAGCCAAGAGTATGGAACCTGGTTCAATGTTAAAAAAAAACTTATGACAAAATCAAGAGGTTATCAGGGATAACAACTTCATTGTAAATAACTGTCATGGATAGTAGATTTGTGTAGATATCATGTATATAATAAATAAACAACATGGCACAGATCAAATGAACACACTCAAAAGACTTGAACAATTAAAACTTCTAGTAAATCCTTTCCTAAACATGTATATAACACATTTTACTAGTAGGAAATACATGTAAAGACATTCTACCAAACAAGAACATTTCAAACAGGATTGCTATGTTTAAGAAATTTTCACGATTTATTACAGTCACGTTCTCAGATTTTAGACATGTTCCAAAATAATTTCAAAATTTGATTTCCATTCCTCAATGCAGATTTCCTTTCCTCAATGCATGCAATTTTGACTGCTGTTAAAGTTTAATAGGTTTATCATAAGAATGTCTTAACCTTGAACTTCTATTGACTCCCGAGTGAATTTTACGAGGTTTGAGATCTCACGAGGCGTAGAAGTGCGGAGTGCGATCCTTTCTTGTAAAATCCAAAAGAGCTACATACATGTAAAAGATCAAGACACTCTTATAGTTACCTACTTAAAATATAGCTTGTCAAATTGAAATCACATTACGGAATTCAAGAAAAATGTAATCGGTGCAAAGCCAGCTGAATGTCATTCCATATCGAACTCGAGTGTGATACAGAATTTTCCCTGTTTGGTTGTTTTTGTGCACCTGATACATGCATTTAATGTAGAAATGTGTAAAAAAATATGTATACTTATACAATAAGCTTTGTTATTGAAATGTATATAATGTACATGATAAAACTTTACTGTCACAGTATAGCTTTCATATTTAGAAGAATGGACACAAAACTTAAGCAACAGCACCATTTTAATTTTACTGACTTATCAACACATATAAAACAAAAACTGTCAGTAACTAGAACTGCCACTATCATGGCGTGAATACCCCCGCATACCACTTTGTCAGAATCAACAGTGGCCATTTAGAGCTCAAGGACAACCGCCCTGCCAAATCTGAGGTTACTAAGCCAGTGCATTGCTAAGTTATGTATTCTACATGCTTCAAATGTGAAAATGGCAAAATCAATACACTGCGGACAGGCATTCTTTAGCAATTAAGAAGAAAAGCTTTTTTTGTCAAGGTCCCTGTGACCTTTGACCCAGTGACCTCAAAATCAATAGGGGTCACCTTATGGTCATGATCAACATCCATGCCAAATATGAAGACTGTGGGTCAAAGGCATCTTAAGTTAATGGGTGGACAAACTTTCTTAGTCAAGGCCCCTGTGACCTTGACCTTTGACCCAGTGTCCTAAAAATCAATAGGGGTCACCTATTAATCATGACTAACCTCCATGCCAAATATGAAGACTGTTAGTCAAAGGAATCTTAAGTTATTGGGCAGACAAACTTTTTGAAGTCAAAGTCCCTGTGACCTTGACTTTTGATCCAGTGACCTCAAAATCAAAAGGGGTCATCTACAAATCATGACTAACCTCCACTCCAAATATGAAGACTATGGGTCAAAGGAATCTAAAGTTATTGGGCAGACAAACTTTTTATAGTCAAGGCCCCTGTGACCTTGACCTTTGACCTGGTGACCTCAAAGTCAATAGGGGTCATCTACTAATCATGACTAACCTCCATGCCAAATATGAAGACTGTGGGTCAAAGGAATCTAAAGTTATTGGGTGGACAAGCTTTTTGAAGTCAAGGCCCCTGTGACCTTGACCTTTGACCTGGTGACCTCAAAATCAATAGGGGTCATCTACTAATCATGACTAATCTCCATGCCAAATATGAAGACTGTGGGTCAAAGGAATCTTAAGTTATTGGGCGGACAAGCTTTTTGAATTCAAGGCCCCTGTGACCTTGACCTTTGACCTGGTGACCTCAAAGTCAATAGGGGTCATTTACTTATCATGACTAACCTCTATGCCAAATATGAAGACTGTGGGTCAAAGGAATATTAAGTTATTTGGCGGACAAGCTTTTTGAAGTCAATGCCCCTGTGACCTTGACCTTTGACCTGGTGACCTCAAAATCAAAAGGGGTCATCTACTAATCATGACTAACCTCAATGCCAAATATGAAGACTATGGGTCAAAGCAATCTTAAGTTATTGGGCGGACAAGCTTTTTGAAGTCAAGGCCCCTGTGACCTTGACCTTTGACCTGGTGACCTCAAAGTCAATAGGGGTCATCTAATAATCATGACTAACCTCCATGCCAAATATGAAGACTGTAGGTCAAAGCAATCTTAAGTTATTGGGCTGACAAGCTTTTTGAAGTCAAGGCCCCTGTGACCTTGACCTTTGACCTGGTGACCTCAAAATCAATAGGGGTCATCTAATAATCATGACTAACCTCCATGCCTAATATGAAGACTGTGAGTCAAAGGAATCTTAAGTTATTGGGCGGACAAGCTTTTTGAAGTCAAGGCCCCTGTGACCTTGACCTTTGACCTGGTGACCTCAAAATCAATAGGGGTCATCTACTAATCATGACTAACCTCCATGCCAAATATGAAGACTGTAGGTCAAAGGAATCTTAAGTTATTGGGCGGACAAGCTTTTTGAAGTCAAGGCCCCTGTGACCTTGACCTTTGACCTGGTGACCTCAAAATCAATAGGGGTCATCTACTAATCATGACTAACCTCCATGCCAAATATGAAGACTAAGGGTCAAAGGAATCTTAAGTTATTGGGCGGACAAGAAAAAACCGACGGACGGCCGGACGGACAAGCTGATTCCAGTATACCCCCCTTACAACTTTGTTGTGCGGGGGTATAAAAAAGAGTAGTGTGTTCAGCTTTTTTTTGGCTTTCGACAGAGGAACAAGTAAAAAGTCTTTGAAAACCTTTAAGTCAAAAAGGGAGCAAAATCATGTCATAATGTATAAGTACAAAAAATTGTAGTTTACATACTCTTGCCTAGAAACACCTCACAGAATTTAAGTTAAAAAGGTGTGCAAGTTTGTCAAAAAGAAATAAGATGCTTAAATTGTACAACTTATACACTTTATAAGCATTAACCAACCTAAGTTTGAAATCAGTACATATATATCTAAAACTTTAAAACTTTTAACTCAAGATTCTAATTACAAAGTTTTCATAGTCACAGGCTTATGTGAAAGAAATCACTGTATTGGAGGTTAAAACAGACCTCAGTAAAAGTTAAACTAACCACATTCAAACAAAGTGTAGTAATACTGCACTATTTTCTTTGGCATGTAATAAAGGGCCTTTTTTCAACCACTGGATAGACATAAAAAAGTAGTCCCATTACATTATAGGGATGATGAATGTTACAGTGTTTTGTTTTAGGCTATTGTTAACATGATCCGATATAATAAAAAGTTCTGTTATAACAAATAAAATATCACAATTTGACTAAAGTATGACAAAAATAGTTTCGAGTAAATCTGGCAACAGCCACGTAACTATGGTACCTGCCTGTTTGAACACACTTTTGTGTTGTAATTTCAAATTGAAAGCCAAGATCTAAAGCACTAAACTGAATTTCAACTCTCAGATTTCAAAAAACCACACCACTCAATCACTTACAGTGCAAGTATTACATGTATTTTTTTTTTTATCTGATTGAGGTGATGTCCATCACAAGAACAACGACAAATGAAAAACCATTTCTGGCCTTGACAAATATTTTAAAAATATTTCTAAGTACATGTATGTTTGCTTGTTTGTTTTGCTTAAATTTTGGTCACATAGACACTGTATAGTTCATACGGCAATTTTTCAGCTTTACTCGTGGGAGGGGCTCAGGACTCCTTCTTACATTATTTCAAGCATGAATGAGCACTTGAGTAGAACCATCAATGACCTTCATGGATGCTCCGATATAAGTGTATTTCTGAAAAATATATTTGCTTTTTTCTCTATCAAAATTTAATTGTAAAGCTTTAAAAACCTAATATATTGAAATCATGCAGAAATACAAAAATAGAAATGAGCTTTGTATAATCATGTATGAAATTAACAAGAAAATTTTCACATTAATCCAGCTACTGTCTATATTATCAGCCCAATAAAGCCTTGCTGGATAAACATATCTATCTCCACTCATTACGTCATATGATGGCGTCACATGGTTAGCAGCCAAACAAAACTACGCTGTTTTATCGGGGAAAAGTAAGAATGAAACAATTTAAATAATCTAAAAACATGATTAAAGTAGACAAAAGCAGGATAAATCAAATCGCTAAAGCTCGCCAAGATACACTTTCTCGCTCACCTGATAAACCTTCTCCTACCCAAACATCAACCAGGTATTCTCTATTTACACCATATACCTTGCGCTGGATTTTAGAGCCAGTAACAGATTAATAAACAATTCAAAATGGCAGTGAATACTTATATTTGAGAAAAAAAGTATAATTTTAAATTTAAATGTGTATTGTATACAGACATGAATGGGACCTCAACCTTTTGCACTGAAATCATAGCAGTCATAATTTCAAAAATACAATTTTGACAACAAAACTAACTTAATCTCAATTGGTCAAGAAACCTTCAAAATCATCTATTCTACACATATTTCTGATATAGATCAGGCAGCATGCTGATTGGGTTGGGTTTTACATCACACAAAAATATTATATAGGTCATAAGGTGACTTTTCAGCTTTATTTTTGGAGGAAGTCCTTATGTGCCCTTCTGTGCATTATTTCAGGCACAAATGAGCACCTGAGTAGAAGCTCTGACTTGATAGCTTTCTCACATAATAGACTTCAAAGTCCATGTTAGGATTCAAACCCACAGTAGTGAGGTGACAGTAGTGAGGGGCATGTGGTATACAGGTAATAATTTAAATCACTCGCCCATAGATGCTCCCCTATCCACCTCCCCTTCAAATAAATCATGTTCTTCTGGCAACTGCTCAAGTCCAGTTAACTTGTTTCCTTGCAATCAAATGCATACATGTACTTAAGATAGGAACAGGTGAAAATAGTATTGGCCATTTTATCATCAAATATACTGACAAAAAAAAGTACAACAAAGAAGCATCCTAGACTAGGACTTGACTATCATGTATGCAATTGTTGGGATTACAGACCCAACACTTGACCTACTTAGTGATTTTTGTGGTATATCAAAAAAACTTTTTACTAATTCAGAAATAAAAAAGATAATATGAAAATAATTTCTCTTATGCCCTGTATATAAAGACCTTATGTCATATGCTTATGTCTAAAAATAACATAAGTGCTCTTTGTGTTCATAAGTGCATAAGGGCAGCACACACTTGAAACAATACAGAACTTGACCAAAATGATATTTTAGTTTGAAAATTAAAAAGAAAAAAAAATAACAATGAAAAATAAACTTGTTGCTAGCAGCTACACTTGATGTTTTAGCACCTTCTAGAATCTGAAGATATAAAGTTTAAAAGGAAACCTTTCAGGCATATATTTATAAAAAAAACCAGACAAAATCAATACTTCTCATTTCAGTTCATGCCAAACAGTCTCAACTCATATAAATTACGGAATGAGATAAATCTGTTTTGCTTGAAGGTCAACATACAGCACTTTAAACATAACTGTAGCATAAAATCTCACAAAACAAATTAATTATTACCCAGCCTAGAATCTCCTAAATTAAATATTCATTCTTCTGGGCATCACTTTCACTTTTATATTCTAATACAATTACTCTTGGCATACATAACAATTATGCTGACAAACATTCCATCACGTTATTAGAAGTTCCGCAACGTCATTATCATTGTTGTGCCTCTGACGTAGCTCCCCGTCCTCGTCTGTGAGTATGATGTCAGAATCACCGTCATCTGTCCGGTCTATACGATTATACAGTCTTGCTGTGTCTTCACCACGGCTGTATCGTACAGTGTGGTCACTGTCACTCACGTATATAGTTTTAGTGTCCTTCGTTCTCCTCTTCAAGAAATTGTCAACTACCCAAAATATAAATGCCTGAAGTATAAAAACAATTCATAGAAAAAAACCTTGCTCTATGAGTTATTATAACACAATCCGCCTTTTTTCCCCATTGAACATAGAAGAACCGAAATTATGTGTTATTATGCTATCAAATCACTGTTTGACGTTCTATGTTTAGACATGTGATGTAATCATTACACATGTGACGTAACCACTAAAATGTGACGCACTGACAATAAGTACAGAAACAAATCAGGCGCAATTTAGCTTAATACCAGGTACGGCAGCATTTATTTGTTGATATCATGTTAGAATCGAAATAATATATCCAAATCCATAATATTTTTGCTTGATAAAATCACTGTTTGTCGTTCAGATAAGCATCATTATATCACTCGGGCTACGCACTCGTAATAGAATTCCCCGCATCTGAACTCCAAACAGTGATTTTATTGAGCAATAAAATCACAGTTTGGGATATATTATTTCTTAAATATAATATCTTGTCCTGCCTTGTCAGTGCTGTTTGCAAAGTTTACTATACAGTCAATATATATGAGCCGTGACATGACATTACCAACATTGTGGTCAAATTTGACATTTTACTTTTTTCAAAGATTCTCAAAATGCATTTTTTTGTGAATCATTCAAGACACATTTTATCATTTTTGGACAATGAAAAATTGATTTATAACACTATTGAACATTATTGTTAACATAATTTTATTTGGCCTCACATCATTTTATTTGGCCTCATTCAAAAATGCTTTATAATGACAAACTTTGTTCAAGAGTACATTATCAATTGTAAGCCATCTAAAGTAGTGTGATCATATACATGTAAAACATTAACAACGCATGATAAAAATTTTTATTAAGGCATTGAAAACAGACTCACGTAAAGTAAATGATATCAGACATTCAATGGCTACACATACACTACGCTAAACAAACAAAGTTACAGCTTAGAGTTATCATTACGGTGAAATTTTTAATTATTTTAGCTCAGTTATTGTCTTTGAATCAAGAAATATGCTTTAAAGAACAAGATACACAATACATTTTTAGGACATTTACGAAATCATAAAATATTACATAAGCCCCAAAACAGTTTGACAAAGCTTCCTTCACAACGCCATGAGTGATATACTTTAAGTAATATTACTTTTATCTCACAAAATAATTAAAACTCAGACTTTCACTTATTAGCATAAACTATTACAATGACTTGACAGAGTACATCTCAAAAAACAATGCAAAATATTGACAAAATAATATATCACCACATGTCTACTGCATGACTAATGCAGTAGGGGCTATGTTATCTGTTTGATAATTAACATGGATTGTATGCAATGTGTAAATTACTTCTTTTGTACACTTCACAATATTTTACTTAACAATACATTTTCCTTATTTAGATGAAAATAAGTAAGGATCTTGAGGCATGCTGCTTACATTATATTTAATGAAATAATTTCAAGAAAATTTTGTTTTCCCCTTAATTTTATATAAAGCGATTTCAAACACTTCAAGTGTCTTACTTACACATCCACTACACTAAACAATAGCTTCTCAATTATATACTATTGTATTGAGTGTCCGTTATATAAAACAATGATATCCATGTGATGTTTAATGTTCCTTGTTCTTTTTACATTAAAGTGTTTATTCCAGTTTATTTACATGTACATATCAGCCACAACATGTTACAATGGAGAGAAATACTTGGAAAACATCTTGACACTGGAAATAAATTAACAATCGAAAGAATACTTATTATTTTAAGTAAGTAAGCCCTGAAAGTGTTTTCTGTTGCAAGGATAATATGTCAAGTGTAGTTTAAATGGATGAAATTAAATTTGTCAACTCATATTTTCCTTCCTTGGTACTTAAGATCATGATTCAGAGACTGTTTTGTCAGGAGTTCAAGGTTAGAACCAGAACAAGTTTATCAGCGCAGTATGTACTTAATCTTTACGCTGTAAAATTGAGTCATCTCTACCCATATCATTAAACTGCGGAAAACCGTCATCATTGTGGTGAAAAAAATTATATTATTGCAGTAACAATTTGATTTTTGCTTACATACAACTAATGTGCGCATTGATTAAAAACTGCACAGTCCTGGTTGGAGAAACACGCTTCATACAATTGAAAAAAATGGCGTCAACTTTGATGTAACATTTCTACGATTACGTCATCTGACCACTATGTTGGAAATGTCATGTCTTGGCTCATATTTTGAAACTTTCCCTTATTATGATGAATGGTTTGTCCAGACTGAAAGATAGACAAGTCCATTTAAGATTTTTAGTGTGGTAAGGGTATAACATATATATATATTTCTATTTTTGGTCCAGTTTAAGTCAAGTAAACATTGTAAAGGTTACAACATGGTGTCATTCCAGATTTACCCGTGGTGAAACACCTCAAGTACCAATCTTTACATTATTCCAGACATGTGACAACATATGAATACAACCAACCACATTCCGCAAATTAAAATTTTTAACACATTAATACGAGTCAATATCTTATCTACAATGATAAAATTTAATGAATTACTTACGTTCACAACCAAAGGGACAATAAACATCACAATCACTAGCTCCACTTTAGGATCTTTCACTGGGGACATTATTATATGCCGGACCTGTTACAAAATATGCCATAAAAAATCATTTATATACTGTATAAAACCTTTGCAAGGCTAAACTTGTATGATGGGCTCATCTTACTCTGAATTAATGTGAGGACAATTAACTCTAACCTTGCAGGGAACCAAATATGATATGACCTTGCCACCACTAGAGCCAGGCCAGCCTACATATCCATGCGTATATCCTACAGGAACCTTAATTGAATAGCCTTGGCCATTGGTATGTAACAGGCAAGCCAGCAATTTTGTGAGGTGACTGAACTGTGCCCTGGTGAATTCAATGTGGCTTTCTGCCGTGATCCGGAGTGAAAACTACCAACACCACCAACACCACTTTTGTGCTGTCTGACAACACTTTATAGTGTTGGCTGACTGACTTTAAGTTTCATTTTGATATCTTTAATCTAAACAAGGCCATTTAATGAATTCTAAAGGTTAAAGGAACTTCACAGAGGTCCAAAGACCTAAAAATGTAAAATTTGAAAATCTTAAAAAGACCAAGTGGAGCGCTTCAAATAAAAAAATCTGCAAAAAAAAAAATGAAAATTTAACTAAAAATTCATTCAGAAATGGATGCTTGTGTGATCCCTAGCTGAACTGAATTTAAATGAAAAGTGCTGCAACGCATTTCATTTATGGGTAATTTTGCGCATAAAACCGATCATCTTGGAAAAACAGGTTGATGGAATGACCTGAAATTTTGCATGTAAGTTATTTATCCAGACCTACATCAAATTGTACCCAAATTTCCCGAAAATATTTCCAGTCCCTTCATGTCGAAATACCTCAGTGTTGTCCCTTTAAGGTTTAAAATGCTATTGTCTAGCAGGAAGACAAGGGGCAGGACGTAAAGCTATGGCACACTTGGTTCAAGCGAGCAAAATGGTTGCGAACTTGAAAAAATGACAAAATGTCATGAAAATCTTTAACATTCGGCCGTATTTTGTCCAGGTAAGTGGGTTTGTATATTATTCTAAAAGTACTGAATATGCCCATTCATTCAGGCAATGTTTATGACACTCAGACACACTGGATTTTAGGTTTCAGCTTCCTAGCTTCCTTGGCATAAGTTCAGAGTTTGGCCAGACTTCATGGATACATAGGGTAGCCTGACTCTAAACTGGTAAAATCTTTTATCAATGCCAGCACTATCATCTACTCATACTGTCCCAGACATTGAATACATCAATAGTGGTCTTTGAGCTTATTACTATAGCAATTGGCAATTTCTTGTTGGTTAAGTCAGTCCTGTAGAATACCAGTCAAAATATGATTGACTTGTTGATACTGGCAAAAAAACCCAGGCAATGACAAATATTTACAGAGACACCCTTCCTGTAGGACCGAGTAGCTTCTAAATCGAAAGTGCAGGCAACATTTTTCTACTTGTCCTGCATCAAATTCTCTTAAATTCTACTTGTAATAACGAGCAGACAAGTGGAATTTTGGATCTCTGAAAACTAGACCAAAAAATCTGGAGGTGTGCCGCTTGTACAGATGCAAATGTATATGAGAGTATAAAGAACTTACATCAGCCCAGAAATCAAACTGTATGAGGGCGGTCATGAGTATTTTCTCTATAATCATCACCAAGATGTACAACCCACACTGCCCCACCCAGGAACTACATTTTGGTGGACTACCTGTAATAAAACAGCACAAAAACTCTGCATCATACACAAAAATTTTCACCCATGTTCTCTAGTTGCTGAAACCTAAAATTTCTTACATAGGTTTTGTAAGAGATTATATTCAAGTATAATTACATTTAGTTCAGACGATGAAATCAAATTAGAACAATAGCACTTCATGTGATGTTTTCACTTGTTAAGAGCAAGAACTATCTATAACAATTTTTTATCAATATTCCAGTTAAGAAGGGACATAACTCCTATAAATATTGCTTTAATAATAATGCCCCTAGTCTTAAAACTGTGCATTGTCATAACAATTAAGCATTCCAAGTTTTGTGTTGTAATCTTTAATAGCTATGAAATAATTCAACAAAATAAGCAATTTAGTTAAAAGGGGGTATGACGACAAAATTAAAGTTTTTCGAATTATAACCCTTGTCTAACAATCGTAACTTGTTATGATGAACAAGTATCCCAAGTTTCATGTTCAAACCTTTCATAGTTTTAAAACCATTTAACTTAATACGCAATTTTGACAAAAATTGTATGTTAAAAGGGGCATACATATAACTCCAAAAATATAGCTCTCAGATTTATGCCCCTTGTCTAACAACTGCACCTTGTCATGATAAGCAATCATACCAAGTTTCATGTTGGTACCTTTTAAAAAGTTTATGTAATAGTCTACGCATGATGCAGCAAACAACGACGCAGCTGCAGCCATCATAATTGTTTGACTTTTTTCTTTGAAACAGTCATTTTAACAAGAGCTGTCGGTAGGACAGCAACGCTCGACTATTCTTAGTGCTTGATAGTAAAAAAAATGCCTGATACAGTTACCTCCTCCTGTTTACAGGTTGGGGTCATGATGTTGAACAAGTGTGCAAAGTTTCAAAGCCATATGTCAATGGACTTTGAAAATATTTGAACTATTACAAAGACTTTAACGTAAATTCTAAGTCGAAAAAGGGGCATAATTCTGTCAAAATGCTTGATAGAGTTACCTCCTCCTGTCTACAGGTTGGGGTCATGATGGTGAACAAGTGTGCAAAGTTTCAAAGCCATATGTCAATGGACTTTGAAAATATTTGAACTATTACAAAAACTTTAACATAAATTCTCAGTCGAAAAAGGGGCATAATTCTGTCAAAATGCTTGATAGAGTTACCTCCTCCTGTCTACAGGTTGGGGTCATGATGGTGAACAAGTGTGCAAAGTTTCAAAGCCATATGTCAATGGACTTTGAAAATATTTGAACTATTACAAAAAACTTTAACGTAAATTCTAAGTCGAAAAAGGGGCATAATTCTGTCAAAATGCTTGATAGAGTTACCTCCTCCTGTCTACAGGTTGGGGTCATGATGGTGAACAAGTGTGCAAAGTTTCAAAGCCATATGTCAATGGACTTTGAAAATATTTGAACTATTACAAAAACTTTAACATAAGTGGTTACGCCGACGCCGACGCTCGGGTGACTGCAATAGCTCTACTTATTCTTATCGAATAGTCGAGCTAAAAATGTGCATTTAATAACCAGACTTTTTGCAAGAATCAACTATGTCACGGCTAGAACTATTTCAACCAATATTCATTTTTCACTTTCAAATGACCTCCAGTTTTTTCTTATTACAAATTATAGCTCATAAATATCATATCATGGCAGTCATCATGTCATATTGTCATCATGGAGTCAAAATGTCATACTGAACAAATTAATTATATTCAACAGTCAAATGAAATACGTGTGTGAACATATTAAAATGAAGTGCATCACTATATAAAGGGAGGTAATCAAAAGTCAATATGGCTAAAAGTTCAAACCAGTTCTCTCCCCTTTTATGACATTAATGTCACATTACCAGTTTCTTTCACTTGGTCACATGTCACAAAGAGTGAAATTGTTTTTTATAATAGTCATAACATCTATATCTCAGGTATAAGGACTTTATCACATAAGGGACAAGTCAGTTATTATAAAAATATTTACCATATTCGCCAAAATATAATGTCTCCATCTTGTTCCTTCTTACAAAAACTTGTGTCATCTTTAAGCCTATATATATGACAAACAGACCAACTGTTGAATCTAAAATAAAGCTAACGACATACCTGAAAGAAAAGAAGAATACATGTACAATATAAGACTATGATTATTTTTTGTGTGCGGCTAAATGGTTCTACATACATTTGTACCTCTCTAAAGATAAAAAGGTTGGTAGTGGTTTCATTAGATTTGAAAGAAGTTCAGTATTTTTTTTATAAATTGGCAGGCAATCAAGTAACGGCAAGAAATAAATAAAACAGGGCATTACCAAAAGTAGACGGGTGATTTTATCCAGATACAGGCTAAGCCGTTTATAGTGAATGGGAGCATATCTCATTTAAGAAAATATTCTTTGATATAATTATATATGAATTTGAATATAACTATTATATTCATATTAACAAAAAGTCTTTGTTAGCAATAAAAACCTCAACATTTATGAGAAATAAATTGTAAATGGCTGCCGGTTTGTCCCTTGTTAATAAAAACTGTTGAAAGGATGAAAGGTGAATCTACATATCAATTAAAGTCATGATAAATTATTGATAATGAGCCACGCCATCACAAAACCAACATAATGCATTTACAGCCCGCATGGATCCAGACAAGCCTGCGCATTCGTGCAGTCTGATCAGGATCCATGCTGTTCACTATCAGTTTCTCTACTTGTTATAGGGTTTGTAAGGGAACAACATGGATCCTGATCAGACTGTGTGAATGCGCAGGCTTGTCTGGATCCATGCTGGTCGCAGACGCATTATGTTGATTTTGTCATGGCGAGGCTCATATGTATCTACATAATCCTGTAACAAGACTTTCAGTAGTATTACTGTAATCTTGTAAGAATTAGGAATTTTAAGCTGCATTTTATTGGTCATTATCAGTTCAAATCTCTTGACAAACCTACCATGTACATGGATCTCCTTGGAAAGCATCAGCAAGAAAGACATTGGCAAAATGTATGACTGCAGCACCAAATGCTTGTTTCGAGGTATCATAAAACCTGCAATTTGACATAAAATGACACAATATTTATTTATTACATAATATTTATTTATTACTCTATCTGTCTGGTCAGGCCTTTTCAGACCCATTTCCAATGACAAAATATGTTTTTTTCCCCATCTTTATTCTTTACAAAAAATTCCCAATCAAACTGAAATTCCCAATATCCAAACTAACAAATTTGCCGACTTTCATTCTGGCATCTAACAAAAAAGTTGTTTCCTCAAATTTTATCTTCAAAAATTACTAATTATGTTATACCTTGATTGTGTTTGGTACCAAATTTTTTTCCCAATTAAGCAAGTTTTATGATGCAAAAATTTCCCAAACTGGGCTAGGTACTTTTTCCCAAAAGAGCTAGGAAAAGGCTTGCTGGTCATAAATATTGTCACTTCAGGTGGCAAGAGTCAATATTACTTCAAACTTTATTAAATATTTGAATTAAATATAACCAATGAGCTTTCAGTGTTTGAACAATGTGATGTTTTGAACCACTAGAAGCTTTAAGTGATTTAAAAATTTTACTTTTAAAAAATGGTGAAGAACTACAACTATCAATTAACAAACAGTACCATATTTTCCAAGGTCTCCTCTCATATCTTGGCTCACAGTATCTTTTCACTGTAAATAAAAAAGATAAATAATATAATATTATTGTAAAGTTTTACCAGCTTTCAGACAGAATATTCAATCATTTCCCTTTATAACTGCAAATGAAAAATAAATAAGAAATTTAAAAACTACATTGCAAAATAAAAAAATTCTTTGCAAAAAACTTTATTTTTTTTTTTCAACTGGCATATTTTGGTAAATAAAAAGGGTTTTGATTGGTTTTTTTTGGCTTGCAACCCCAGAAATATAGTAAGTAATACAAAAGGAATGGAACTTAGTTACAAAGTGTTAAGTTTGTTTTAATTTCTTAAATATTATGATACATGCTTTCAAAGCATTTGGTGAATGTTATTGACTCCGGATTTCATCTTTGACCCAATGAGCCCTTTGACATTATTTGAAGGCAGATAGAGGGAGGGTTGATATTTCATTTGAAAAAGCAGAGCAAAGTGTCAAAAATTTCCTGTGTTTTGATCAGTTTAATTAATATTGAAGTACATAAAATTATACAGACTTCTTAAAAGTTTGAAAAATTTGCCAGACATTCTGTCTGACAAGCCAAGAAATTTTGCTGCGCCAAACTGTCAGACCAGCAAGCCATGGAATTTCGTCTGACCAACAAAAAATCTGTCAGACCAACACATTCATTTCAAAATCAATATTTTAAGCAACAATTGGTTTTTGTCATATACTGAACTTGCGTCAGACTGACTAGAACAGAATAAACACATTTTTTGCATAAATTCTTAGAAACAGCATTTAAAATTACATGTACATGTTCCTAGTTATATAAATGTAGGGTGATAAATGGTTCTGACAGGTCACAATTGTTTGTAATCAAATTATAGTGCATATTACTGATTTTAGCGCAAAAGGGTCATTCACCCTTCATCAAATGCAACTGCCCTGCATTTTGACGGACAAAATTTTTAAAAATCAAACACAAAACTCAAATTTACTAATTACCAGTCTATATTGGTATAATTCGCTTTATTCAATTACTCATTGTTCAATAAATTATAATGTTTATAATACTTTTATTCTTTTATTATATAATCTTCAATATAGCCAGAATACTTATTCCATTCAAATTCTAACACACTCTCTAAAATATCAACCTCATGGCTAAGTATTAATGCGTATGTATTAAACACTGTCGAATGCTGCTGTCGTTACGGAATCAATTCCTCATACACATTCAGTAAACTAAAAGTTTTATTCTTAGTCATAAGGTCAGTTTCTGGTTTTTTGTTGACAGTATTTCCATTGAAATGGTGTCTGCTGTTTGATTTTTTTACCGAATAACTTTATAGTGAGCTCGAAGAGCTGGCCCGAAGGGCCTGCTCGCAAAGCGAGCTTTACGGTAACGCGAGTACCTGCTAAGTGATGGTTTTGAAAACTTTCGTCCGAAGTACCGAATTGAACACATCGCAACTTTTCGAATCACAAGATAACGATAAAAGCCAATGTACTCTGATTGAAAACGGAAGCTTAGACTGGTGTCCTGCGCACTTATATAGGAACCATAATACTATTAATAGAAAGGGGGAACCAGAATAAACGGAAGCAATGTATAAAATACCGAATGACAATTTTAAAACGGAAAATGTAAAATAAAAATGAACAATTATTTTAACTATCTTACGGTAAAAGAAAATCGAGCTTGCTTTAAGGCTTTGCCTTTTTCATATTAATAATATTAAATATCTAGAGAAACATCATTTGGAGAATCAACTTTTTACTCGCGCAGCCCAAACTTTTACACACACGTCTCAGACGTCTCAAACGTGACGTCTGTAACACTCGTGTGAGGGGTTGGCAGTATTCAGAGCTAGCAATCGCGAGCGGGCAAGTGGAATTGTCGAGGCCTGTATTATTGTACTATACTATTTGAGATATGCATACATTTATATAATGTTATATTATAATATAGCATCTATTACAAACTTTACCAAATCAACTTACATATCAATGAAGTAAAAGCTAACACTGCCAGTAGAAACTGTAGGAAAAGACCAAGTGTATTCATCAAGTAGCCACTATCACAGTGAAACGCATTATCAGTTTGATGGTTACCACTATTCATGCTTTTGTTTAGAGATGAGCTAGGTGTGATGGTCTTCATTACGTCAGAAGCCATTCTGTGACCAATTTAAATGGTTTTGTGCTTTTCAATATTTAAGAAAATATATTTATGCAACTTTATTATTCATTCAAACATTCTGCTTTTGACATAGACTATTTACATGCATTATAATCAGATAATTTTCCCAGGGCCATTCCGTTTTTAATTAACAAATTATCATATGGTGGAGAATTGTTACGAGTCAGGTCTGCTTTAAAAAATATCAGTGTGAGTCTTTAAAAGTTTGATTGCTATCATCACTTTTGGCAGTGAGATTTTAAGATCGAAACTTTTTTCAGCATCAAAAATGAGAATACACGATAGTGACAGCAAACCAGGAAGTGCACATTTTACCGGTGAAGAAGTAAAAAAAAATTTAGACTGGTTGTTAATGAAATATGTATTAAAGAACCAAACGTAGTTTTTATGACGACACTGACGGGTCCATGTGCACATATTTTGCCTTATCATCAACAACATCTTTATCTCCACAAAACACCTAAATTTACAGTAAATCTTATCCGATATGTCTATGATCTGGTTTTTCTATCTTCCTGCTGATAGCTTTCACAGTGTCATTAGATACAAGCTACATATGGCCATGGTCGAATGTACACTTACATGTATATAAATCTTTTTATAGAATTAAATAATTTACACAACCGTTAAAATCCTTCTATCTTGATTATATAAATCTCTTGCACAACATACTTAATTGTAAAGATTATAAACTTTTATTTTTAGCTACCTTAAACTTGTTCGGCTGACTTCAACCACATGTACTGTAGACCTTATGTGATTTGATATTTTTGGTTACTGAAGTGATACATTATATAACGCACTAACAGCCAGTACAATATAGATTCTATGTGAAATCATTTACCATTTTGTAAGTTTAGATGTATAAAGTAACAATCAAGGCATTAAACACGCTATCACAAGATTTGCAGTTAGAGATAAAAATAGGGAATAAAACGTCTTCAATCACTCCCACTTTGGGATTTAATAGTGCACGTACAACTTCGACCCTAAAAGGCGGCACGAAATTTTGGTAATTCGTGCTGTCCACCCTAAGTGACATCTTGGACATAAAGTAGTTATATTAGATCACACATGGATAATAGAAATTAATATCCCATTAGAAAGACCTTCCTGTATCGTATTATACAATAACCAATCTAACTTTATTGAAAAGATTCGCTTAAAGATCCTGTAACACATTTTTTTCATGGTTTTATTTCATAAATATGATGCTCAAATTAAGATTTGTCAATCTTGTAAGTTCAAATAAGCATTATCTATAAAGATATTACCCAATTTAACATTTCGCGTAAATAAAGGGAGGCAATTAGAAATTTATTTTCTATAAATTCTAAGTCAAATTTTCCAATAAGAAATGAATGCATGTAATTTATTGATTAAATATAATGTGCACAAATATTTGCAGTACACATTTTACATATTCTTGGATGTTTGAAAATTGTTTTATTTGCATAATTATATACATATATAATTTTTTGCAAGTGTGGTATACACACAGTCTTCTCACTTCCCCTCGGAGCGTGCACGTCGCTGAGAAGGCACAGGGCATCGGCAGAAGATTTTCAACTTGGCTGGTAGACAACTTTAACGGCGCCTTCAACCGTGGGCATTAACTACGGAATCCTACTTCGTCACTTCTGCGGACCAGCTGCCGATGTCCTGACTAATGCCGAGGGGAGTGGCCCTACAAAGTAGGCTGAGACGACGAGGATGGTGTACTAGGGTGCGTGAGCCTCTAGTACAGATAGACGGCTTGTAAGGCAGGCCTATAGCTGGCACCAACAGCCCTTTTTAGGGCTAAACACCTTTCTTATTGTCACAGGTTACTGTACATTTAGGTTCTCATTGACCGCCGAACAGTGACCTACTTTTCGGCTCAAAATTCATATCTTTGGCTAATACTCCGTGGAAATTGCATGGAGGTAAATTATCACCATTTTGTGCTTCAAAATTAACTCTTTAAGGACATGACTGGTGACATATGTCCGGGGTCCGTACTCGACAGCGCAAGCTGCATTTTGTGCCCGAAAGGGCGGATGGACCCTCATTAAGCTTTAACTACATACACATACGTATACACACAGTAATAATATCAATCACAAAACATACAGGATCTTTAAACAAAGTCTGAAATGTCCATTAATTTGTCCGTTTATGTTGGATGACCTTCAAGATACCCTCATTTTACTATTTTAATAAATGTATTCTTGAACGCAACTAGAATACAAAATGAGACATTGGCATTTAAGTATACCTCATCGTTTAAAAAATCTGGAAATCTTATCATATATTGTTTAATTATATATTTTCAAAAGCATTACATATATATGAGGGGTATTTATGAAAACATCTTGTTAATTATATTCTAGAAAATTTAAACGTTCTACAATCACATATTCAACTTAAAGGGCCACCTCAGTTTATTATCTATCGTCTTATTTGAGACTGTTAATAATTTCAGCTTCTGCCCTGTCCTTTTAAACACATCTTCATCTTGCACTAATTTAATTCATATATGCGTTGACAGGAAATTAAAGAGCTGTTAATAAACAAGCGTCAAAATCTGGCACGGCAATGTAAGGTGTGATAATCATTGTAGTCTGGACATTTGGTAGTGAATCTGCATGTCCGGTTTGCCTTGAATTTGAAATCGGGCGTACCTGGTTTGATACCCGGACGGTGCAGGACACGTTCGTTGTGATTGATCATGAAATATTTTCAACGCTCATTCGCACTGTACCTCTGCTCGGGCATGTACAGATGTAACTTTAATAGTTCCTTGCCAAAGTGAAGGCAACAAGTACTGGTAAACTGTTTGACAGCCTGCTCAGGACTACATTTGGAAGTGTGATGATCCTTTATAAACACTTGGTAAAAACGATTGGATACATGAACACTTTGACTTTTTAACATTTGAAAAATAATTAAATAGTATACGAGTATTTGACAAAATTGTGGAGCTGGAGTTACGTCTTAGTATTTTTACGCCACCTGACACTCCTTTGTGCACTATTTATCATTTGATATTTAATATAAAATTAATAGAAGAAATCTTGCAAAATATGTTATGATTATTTTGTAAGGTTCGGTTTCACATTTAATATGTTACAATTCATTGCAATATATGAATGCGTATTTTATGACATGCATGTATGCACTTACTATTTAACAATATTCGTTTACAAAGAACGCCTTGCGTGAGTTGTTGGCAATATTAATTAATGGCCCCATGAATTTAAAATAACATTCATTATGAGGACCCCTATAGAACCCAGTTATAAGAGATGATCGAGATTGGTCATTTTCAGCCAAAGCATCCCCAGCCATCCTAAAATCGAAAATATGAATTATTTGAAAATGATAATACATTGTGAAATCATTATATTATGATGCGGGCAAATTTTAATCTAGATCTATTGTTCGTCTGATAACTAATACATCAAATAAGGTAATAGATTTAATATGTTTTAGAATAATTCATTTGGGGTTAAGTGGGGTATGATATCAAAAATTCACATAACTTTGTTGATTTACTCTCTTATGTCGAGAGTAAATCAATTATTCACTAATCTACTATAGCAAAAAACAACAACAAATACAAAGGAATAACGCCAAATATTTGGTAGTACATATTACAAATCAATAAAATCAATCGGTATTTATCTGTATCTGTTATATGTTCTTGTATAAGGGATTCATCAGATCTATAGCATTGTTGCTGTATCAGAAACTCTTAAACGAAACTAAAACAGATCTGAATACGTGGTTACAAAATATTACAAACAGAATAATATTGTGTAAAATCTACAAAATATTTAATAACAAGTTATGCTCATTAAAAAAAAGAAAATTCATTAAATTATGAAACTTTAAAAAAGTTATATTTCAACTGGGACATAAGATAAGTTTCAAGAAACGATTTTTGTGTGTCATGTGATGAATAAGGTAAAAAGCCTAAATGTTCACCAAGAATGTGTATTTAAATATTTTATTACAAAAAACGTTTGTTGTAAGAAGGGATGGGGTCGGGTGGGCGTATATAAACAAGTTCTTGAAAAGCGTCGAGTGAAGAAAAACCGCGAAAACACTATGTAAATATATACCCCCACTAACCCACGAAATACACGTGCACCGTTGAAAGAAAATATTTTAGGTATCACTCCATATTTAACTTAAGATACAGAAACCATACATAAACGCACATTCAAGCTATATCCGGTACGAGAATAATTTCATATAATTTAACCTCATACAGCAGAAGTTAATTTGAATTTGAATTAATTCGGTTATTTACATATATCTGGAAAAACGTAACCAGTCTAAATGTCAAGGGAAGTAACTGTGATTGAAATGGGGAACGTAAACAAGAAATTGTGTGCGGATGTAAAAGATTGACAACATTTAAGTGTTTCCGTAATGCTTTGAACATGCTTTCCTGATTCAATTCTTAAGAATGGAAATTTACGTAGCTATTTCCGATTTTACGCCACCTATCGCGGACGGATCTCAAAACATCCTCGAATTTCAGAAAGGTGACACTTTCGAAATATTTGACTGTCACAAAACTGATGCAGACTGGTGGGGTGCTAGATCTTTAAAAACAAACACTGTTGGATATGTGCCATCTAGATACATGCAGGTCTGTCTTTTTTACTGGTTTTAATTTTCGCTATCAATTTTCCAGCAGACTTGCTTTATAATAATAGTCAGAAGACAGAAAAGAATTTGGTCACTTTTGGTTCATTCTTTGGACTAGTTAAATTTGTCAACAGAACAAAACAACTGTAAGAATTGAGCCTGTAGTTTTGTCCTTACATTAGATTTACATCAATTTTTTTCTGCCTCATTTGCAAAAATATTGTGTTATTTCCCTCATTTTTAAGAAATGGTCACTTCTTCCAATTGAACCTTGCGAAAAATGTCCTGCTCGATGTTATTAGACTCTCAAGAACCTATTAATGGCAATAACCCATTCATGACATAAAAGTTCATATATAAAGTTAAAACTGCAAAATGATAAATATGTCAGCTTGCAAAATGTCCATCAGAATTTTTTTTCTTCTTTTTAACTAGAATCTATGTACCAGTTTTAAAAAAACAATAAGAACCCCCCCCCCCCACCAACAGAAAGAACAACAACAAAAAACGTGTATATCTACTTTTAATAAAAAGGTTGCCATGAGTACTGAAAAAAAATCATTACCCTCATTTGATTTATACTTAAATCTACATTATATACATGTCTACCATAAACAAGTACACTTACAGTGACATTCTAAAGCTGTGTTATTGAGAAATAACATCTATGACATAATTTTTTCTCACTCTGTTAGTAACACAGTAGAATTTGTGGTGTCGTAGAAATTGTGAATTATGTTTAAGTACTCAAAGTTTTACCTTAGTTGTGAATTTATATAATTGACATTTCTTAAACGAAACAGATTTTACTTAAGTTGCATTATTGAAAATTTAACTCATGATGTGCCACTTACAATTGTGAAACTAATAAAGCTTCAATCACTAAAGATAATTAAGTATCCATTCATTCATTTTTTTTTTCAATGGAAAAATTAAACAATTTCTGAAAGGAAAATATATGTTTTGATAATAAGTAAGAACGGGCCCAATTTCTGTCCCTGTGATGGCAAAAAGCAATGTTTATATATGCAATACATGTAGTAATTGATACTAAAGTATAGCAATTGCTTTTATGCCGCTTTACAATGCGTTCAATACTTAGATACCGTATTAAAGGCAAATTTCATCACTAAGATTGGGACAGTTATCTAACTTACAAAAGAAAATTCAGTGCTTTTTTCACTTTAGGCAAACGGTGGCAATAGAGGGACAATAGAGAATGGAAAATTGATTAAATTTAGAAACACTTAACTAAACATTTTTTTGTGTTTATATGTCTATATAGTATATAGCCATGTAAAACTGTGGAACAATACTGTTATGTTTTCAAACTACAATATTTCTCTCTTTTCCACTCCTCTAAAAAAGTGAACCTAAAAAAAATAAGAAAAAAAAATACAAATGTAAGAGGAAGTTTGTGAAATATAATTATACTTTTTGAGTAGGGAAATGGGACCAAAAATCGTAATCAATATTGTATTGTAAGAATGAGTTAAAGTTAACAACAAAAAAATGTTAATAATTTGTATTTTATTTGAAATATATTGAATGATAATTTGTAAAAAAATCACCATATTTAGTCTTTCATACTACATTTGCCATACAACGAAGAATTTGATACTTTAATGGTGTGTTACATGTATTATTGGGATGGTTAGGTTAACCAGTATTTGAAGGTAAAACATGAAGGTTCCACATGACCTATTTACTGGTATGTATTTAACGCAAGCTTATGGTCTAGTAAGTAAGAAAAATTATAATAAGTAAAGGTTTTCAGATATATCTATTTTTACTGTTTAGTTAACATACATTTAAAGTTAAAAAGTTAAGTCGAGATATTTACACAAGTTAAAAATTACAGTTTAAACTAGCGTACATTTGATCAGGCAGTTCATCACATGTTTAAATGATACTATCAAAAAGTCTCGTGAGAAATGCAGTGTTTATATGATTTCAAAGTAAACTCTTTTTTTCTGCACAATTTTCTGCATGACTGCACTAACATATAAACATATTTATTTATGTAATTTTAAATCAACATTTTATTTGATTTTTTTTTTATGACAAAAGAATAGTGATAAGTCACGTACAATTATGTTTTATGTTAGGCAGTCCCAATTTTACAATCTGTAATAAGTGTTACTTAAAGATCCTGTAACGCAATTTTTTTATGGTTTTATATCATAAATATAATGCTCAAATGAAGATTTATCAATATTGTAAGTTCCAAAAAGCATGTAAGGATATTAGCAAATTTATATTTCATGTAAATAAAGGGAGGTAATTAAAAAATTTATTTTCTATAAAGTCTAAGCCAAATTTTTCTATAAGAAATGAATGTATATACTTTAATGATTACAAGTTATGCTTTTAAAAATTTGCAGTACATATTTTACATATTCTTGGATGTTTGGAAATTGTTTTAGAAGCATAATTATATACATATAATATATAAAATTTCACGTAACCATTGTTACCACTTTAATTACAACATACAGGATCTTTAACTAAATAGTCTAATATTGCCAATATGGGATTGTTTAAATTTGAAAATTTCTGACAGTATTTTTGGTGTAAACTGTCCACAGTTGTGTTTATTTAAACTTGTTTATGTGCAGGATAAATACTATATTTGCTCAACAACTTAGTTAATAATGAATATGCCGCTCAAAAGGGAGCTATGTAAATCTTTTTTCCTTATAAGCATCTACATGTAACTATTACATGGATTAAAAGTTCTAATTGTTAAGTTTTAATGACATAATTTTATCATCACATTAGTGCAGTAGCAAATAAAGTCCTTGCTGAATTTAATTGAATTTAACCAGTTATTGCACTAAGGTGATGAAAATTATAGACTAGATTATGTGTATGCGTGTAAATTATTATTATAATGTACATGTGTATATATAAGTGTTTTAACAGCCAAATGACCTGAAACTATGCGGGATGCCTTCCCATCCAATAAAGTAATCTTATAAAAAGGAGGCATTACTAAAGCCATGGTATCTTTTTAACATTTAATCTATCTATCTTCACAGTACCAATGTACCTGTATATAAAGGTCTACAATGTAAGATTTGTTTTGATGTGTCCTACAAATTTTCAGCAAGAGTAGACATACAGTTGTATCTTGGCACAAATTATTATAAAGCTCAACTTAAGACCAATACCAAATTGAAAGATAATGAGAAAATTCAGACATAATAGCTATCCAGATTAGTCTAAAACAGTGCCTGTTATTGAATTACTGGTACCATTTTCTTCTTTCAACTTTGTTGTAATTGTAACTTGATACAAAAAGAAATACAGAAAAAAATAGCAACAAGAACAACAATAGTAGGAAATGATAATTCTATGACATAATTATTCTGAATAATTAATGACTTAGTTATTCTGTCATACATAACTGCATGCATGGTGTTACATAAGAGACATAATACTGTTTATTTACTTAGTGCTCGCCAATTTTTTTAAGCCAATCACCGACGAGGATTTTTCAAATTTTCAGGTTACAAATCTTAATAGCACATATTTTATATAAACTGGACGTTTTATATTATAAAACGCAAGTGGGTGGAGCACTAAGCCGGTTAGAGTGCATATTGGATGTTCTTCGTAAATAAGAAAGCTCCAGTCGCTTCGCAAGCTCCGCTCCTTTTTAGCTTTCTTATTTACGAAGAACACCCAATATGCACTCTAACCTATACATAATTATATGAGTGTTTTTTTATACAGATATAAAAAAAAATTATATTTATTATAAATACTTTATCTCTGTTTCTTTACCCATGCCTTTTAAATTGGAAAATTTTAGTGTTTTATCCATATAAAATAAAACATTGTAATAAATATAACAAATTTATGAAAACAATTTCACTTATTTGAGACTATTTATTGTCATTCACATAAAAAGGAAATATATTCTTTATAAAAGCAATAATATGCCTGAAATGTTAAAAAAAAGGTTGTTAAAAAATCTTCCCTGTTGGGTGAATTTTTATAGTAAAATTAAGAAATTTCATTAGTTTTATCTACAGGAAGAAGGCCTATATTTTATTTTAGCCTTAATTTTATGTTTATGCAAAAAGACGTCACTGTATGCAGACTAGTTTTAAATATTCAGGAAACTCATTTTTGTCATAATGTTAGTCTGATGTAAAAAGACCCTTTGGCTAATGACACAGTCTATTTATTGGCTGACATAATTTCATCTGCTGGGAAAACTCATCCCAATTGTCCATCTTTGGTTGATTCTACCTCACAACTGTCACATTGCCGACCTGAATTGCATCATGGACTTTGCGATCATGTTGTGTATGTAAACGATCGTGTATTTATATCTAATGATGTTGTTACATGGATGTAAAATGGAGATCTGACATTTGTTATGATATCGTTAACATACCTTCAAGCTAAAAGATCATAAGATAAACCCTGATCAAATACGATATGGATACATGTTGAAACAATTCAGTATATTATTGACTGGTGTGATTTCACAGCTTGACTTGAATAATCATATCTGGAGAGAGAGAAAAAAAAACGTACATAAAATTATTATTCATATAATACTGTATTTGAAGTAAAATTTCTTAAGATGCTGATTTCAGATGGAAAGCAAAATAGGATTTTAAATATAATTTATTTATGTAAATTTTTCACAAACACAAAAGAATACAAAAAAAAAATAGTCAAGAGTAAATATTAAGCAATAACAGTTTTTGTGTACATTGTATGTATGATAGTCATCAGACCTGGGGATGATTACATTGATCAGTAATTGATTTAATTACAATTACTTTCAGATTTTATTGTAATTGATTAATCTTGATTACTCAGACTTGCCTCTGTAATCAATTAAATTACAATTACTTTAAGAAAGTAATTGATTAATAATTGATTACATTCAATGTAAAGTAGAATCCCTTCTTTAGACCACCTCTGAATTAAGACGGCACACTTAATAAGACTTTTTTACAAGGTTCTATATGTCAATGGTTACATGATCCAGAATTAAGAACAACCGCTTATCCAGTTTTAAGACCACCTGAATAAGTCCCAAATCTTGAATTCTTAATTTGACCCAACTAATGAGACCACTGATGTTAAAGTCAACATCTATCTAGATTTTAAATTTGTTGTTATGATCTGCTTGAATGCTTTGCATGACACTTAATTTCACAAGGTGTGAAAAACTTATTATTGGGTTATTGTATGAAATAAAGTGAGAAGGTAAATTTTAGAGTGGTTTAATGTTGCTTTCAGCAATTTTATTTTGTGGAGAATTAAGTTTTATTTGATAGGTGATTTTCAGATTTATGTACATCATATAATAATTGATATTGAAATCTGACCGAATAGAATTATTTTAAATTTCTTCAGGTATATGTTTTCCTCTCTTCAGATATAAAAGCATACTTTTATAGTGTCTTTTATATTGTATTTGTAGTTTAAGATACATACCATTCTTTTTTTCTCATACAAAATGACTAAAACAGACCATGGTCATAAAGTACGTAAGAGATGATAAGAATATGATGGTCTTAATTAAGTGCTTTTACTGTATAAATGTAAAAAAAATGAAACTGGGCTTTTACTGTATAAATGTAAAACAAAAGTTAAACTGTATCATGTAAAATACATGTAAAGGCATCCTTTGAATTAAAATAGTTTCCTGTTAAATTTTAAAGTAATCAATGTCAATCAAATTGTAATCATAATTACTGACTGAATTTAAGCTGTAATTGATTAATTACAAATTAATGTAATCAATTTTGGGCAAGGTAATCAATTACATGATGATTACACTGTAATCATGTAATCATTTAAAAAATCAATGATTACAATTAATGATTACCCCAGGTCTGATAGTCATACAGAATTGGTCAAGAAATAAAATTTTGAAAAATAGGAACAGGTTTGGTTGTATTTTTAAATGTAAGACAAATATAAGTATGTAAGTTCTTTTTGAAATTGTTATGGAGGTTCATGTATAATAGACCCATTCTTTTAACAAGTCATTTAAAAGTGTAGCATAATTTCATATATTGAAATTTTTTTAGATAGTACTTAAAGTGTCTGAACTTGATTTGGTTAAATCATTTAATTTTGTTTACCGTATTGACAACATTTTTGCTGGTTGCATCAATTTTAAAGTTAATTTTCATAAAAATTAACTAAAAACTGGCTGTTTGCTGTTTTAGTAAATGTTTGATGCAGCGGCTATAATTTTTATGTCATGTAATTTTTTTTGTAATTAAAAATGCATGAGGCACATGCTGTTGTTTATACACATGAAGATCCAAGATTGATGGACCTGTACAATATTAATATGAAATTTAAGACTTCCCACAGTGTTAAAAGATTTAATAGTTACTATAAAGGCACATTTTTAACCCTCCGAACTGAGAACATTTTCCTTCTTAAGAAAGGGCAAACATGGATTTTTAGCTCGACTTTTCTATGAAAAGGGGAGCTATCCTACTCGCCCCGGCGTCGGCGTCGGCGTCGGCGTTGGCGTCACACCTTGGTTAAGTTTTTCGTACCACCCCACTTTATTTCAGAAGTATTACAAGTATGGCTTTGAAACTTACCATACTTGTTCACCATCATAACTTCCATCTACAGACAAGAGTACATAACTCTGTCAAGGTTTTTGACAGAATTATGGCCCTTTTTGACTTAGAAAGTGTATTGAGCTTGGTTAAGTTTTTTGTACCACCTCACTTTATTTCAAAACCATTGGAGGTATTGCTTTGAAACTGACCATACTTGTTTACCATCACGACCTTCATCAACAGACAAGAGGACATAACTCTGTCAAGGTTTTTGACAGAATTATGCCCCTTTTTGACTTAGAAAATACATTGAATATGGGTAAAATCCACTTATTGCCCTTAACCCTTTGAGATATTGCTTTGAAACTTTTAATGCTATTTCACATCATTACCCCCATCTGTACGCAAGAGAAGGTAACTCTGTCAAGGATTTGTTTTAAAAATTAAGGCCTTTTATCGACTTAGAATCTTGGTTAAGTTTTTAGTACCAGTCCACTTTTTGACTGAACTGTTTGAGATATTAATTTGAAAGTTGGAATACTTGTTTACAATCATGATTCCCAAACATGTCCAGGAGAAGGTAATTCTGTCAAAGATTTTATTTGAATTATGGCCCTTAACTGAGATTCTTGTATTGCCTTTTACTGCAAAAACTTTTTTTATTGGCAAGCAATAAAAAAGTCGAGCGCGCTGTCTTACGGACAGCTCTTGTATACTATGTTAGTAATGGATTTTCAGAATGTATAAGATATCACCTGATTCCTGAAGAAAGTAGTCCTGGATGTGAAAACTTTGCTAAAAAACAAATGCCCAATATTAATGGGCCTTTAAATAATTATATAATTTTAGCAGTTATAAAAAAATGATTTCAATGGATATTCAAATGAGGTTAAATATTCTATCTCATTTATCCATTTTATATGTGAGAAAAAGAAAATTTAGATTTAAACCATTTTTATAGTCTTATTTAATTTAGTTTTCTGCATGCAGTGCAGCATACAATGTACATGTATGTATGTTCATTGACTTTCCAGCTTTACTCCTGTGATCATAATATGGTCTTTTAAACTCTATTATCTATTGATTACATTAAGGCATTGTAATAATTTCAAGTTAGTTTTGACAGCAGACATTACTATGCCACCATCTTAGGAATTTACACCTAGTACCCCCGAGTTGCATGAAAAGAAATAATCATTAATGTCTCTAGTAAATTGCTCATGGAAATTTAAAATTTTAGTGTCCTTGAAAAGACTCTTACTTAGTCAGAATCTCCTGACCTCAATCACAAGTGCGCCATGTTCTAGTTGGCACCCACACTTCCCATATAACATATATATAATATTTTTTTATGTTTTTTGAATGATTTAATGATTTTATTTATGGATCGATGGACATAGTCTCTGCTCAAAAAGTTATATAACATTTTGTACCCCATGTCATGCTTTATTATCTTTGTAAATATGCTGCACCATGCTGGGCAGACTTTATCTTGTAACAAAATATACCATGTCAGGTGCAATGTCATGGAATATGACTTTTTCATTTTGTCTTACTTAGAATACCTATATTGACAATTCAATTATATAAATATGAGTGAGAAATTGTACAGAGAAAAATCACACGAAAAATTGGCACGCTGTAGCCGGGGCTCAAACCACAGGTCTCGTGATTGCCGATCAAGTATGCTAACCACTACACCACAGTGACATTTGCCTTTTCTTTGTGCTAATTGACCGTATTTCAGTCACAATAAAGTTAAAAATAACTTAAATATATATATAAAATAATAATATAATTTTTATTTATTTTTTTCCAGTATGAAGAAAGAAGAATAGGCAAGCTGCTTCCATCCGGTTATAAGGTAATATGCCCTCAAAATTTGAAAGTGTGAAAAGATCTTAGAGAATAAGTTACAGTAAATACCACTTACAACTTACATGTATATTGCTAATAAACAAATAAAAACAATAAAAAACACTATTGCTAATATAACAATATACTTCTTATAACTATGTTGTTGCCGCGGTCCCAGCTCTAGTTTTCAAATTGGTTGTCTTTCGGATATAACAATATCTGAATATAACATTATAAGTTTTGGCGGTCCCCTGAATATTGTTTTTAGTGGAGTTTACTGTATTTTCCATACATGCATTTATGGCAGCCAATAGTTAATAGATCGAGCCACAAGCTGCAGGAATGTGCCGGCTGGCCTGACACAACACTGGTTGTATGGTCCAGCATTCATACCATGTCTGTGAAATTTTAAGAAAATTCAAATTCATTAAAGCTTATTATAGTACAATGTATTTGAACACGCATTAGTTCAATCATCGACGTGTAATTGAGGAGTGGTTGGACCATAATGACTGATAGAATTTCTCACATGTGTCTACTCACTGTGATTCAATAAACTCATGGATCAATTCAGAATAAAAAATGAAGAAGAAAAAACAACTTGCAGTGTAAAAGTGTTGTTTTTTTTCTGAGTCATGTACCATGATGACTGTGTTTCTATTATTCTAATTTTACAAAACTGTTTAACATTGATATAAGATAAAGCCACCATTTAGATGACTGAATCATGCAATTGAGTAACCAATATTGAGTATTGTACATTGAATTACATGTTGAGTTGAAAGGAGTAGGGGAGATAACTAGGGAACAAATGGTGGCTCAGTGTTTTATGATTTCAACATAATAGAGGCCCAAGGGTTTAGCACATCTGATGGTTTAATTTTATCTTTCGATATACAAGTCATGTAATATTGATGTGAACTTTGTTAGATTTTTTTTCCATAATAACATGTACAATGTATTGGTATCAATATTTAAAAAATTTGCCATTCTATTTTTCACATTTTTATGCCCCCCTTCAAAGAAGTGGGGGTATATTGCTTTGCATTTGTCTGTCGGTCTGTCCGTAGACCAAATGGTTTCCGAGTGATAACTAAAGAGCGCTTAGGCCTAGGAACTTCAAACTTAGTATGATGATTGTTCATGACCAGCAGATGAACCGTATTGATTTTGGGGTCAAGGGGTCAATGGTCAAGGTCACATTGACCTTGTAGGTAAAAACGGTTTCCGATCAATAACGAAAGAACGCTTAGGCCTAGGAACTTCAAACTTGGTATGATGATTGTTCATGACCAGTAGATGACCCCTATAGATTTTGGGGTCAAGGGGTCAAAGGTCAAGGTCACATTGACCTTGTAGGTAAAAACGGTTTCCGTGGGGCGCTTAGGCCTAGGAACTTCAAACTTGGTATGATGATTGTTCATAACCAGCAGAGAACCCCTATTGATTTTGGGGTCAAGTGGTTAAAGGTCAAGGTCACAATGACCTTGTAGGTAAAAACAGTTTCCGAGTGATAACTAAAGAACACTTAGGCTTAGTAACTTCAAATTTGGTATGATGCTTGTTCATAACCAGTAGATCAAGCCTATTGATTTTGGGGTCAAGGGTCAACGGTCAAGGTCACATTGACCTTGTAGATAAAAACGTTTTCCGAATGATAACGAAAGAACGCTTTGGCCTAGGAACTTCAAACTTGGTATGATGATTGTTCATGATCACCAGAGAACCCCTATTGATTTTGGGGTCAAGGGGTCAATTTAGGTCAAGGTCACATTGACGCGACCTTGACCTTGTAGGTAAAAACGGTTTCCGATCAATAATGAAAGAACGCTTAGGCGTAGGAACTGCAATCTTGGTATGATGATTGAACATGACCTGCAGATGACCCCTATTGATTTTGGGGTCAAGGGGTCAAAGGTCAAGGTCACATTGACCTTGTAGGTAAAAACGGTTTCCGTGGGAAAACGAAAGAACGCTTAGGCCTAGGAACTTCAAACTTGGTATGATGATTGTTTATAACCAGCAGAGAACCCCCTATTGATTTTGGGGTCAAGGGGTCAAAGGTCAAGGTCACAATGACCTTGTAGGTAAAAACAGTTTCCTAGTGATAACTAAAGAACACTTAGGCTTAGTAACTTCAAATTTGGTATGATGCTTGTTCATGACCAGCAGATGAACCCTATTGATTTTGGGGTCAAGGGGTCAATGGTCAAGGTCACATTGACCTTGTAGGTAAAAACGGTTTCCGAATGATAACGAAAGAACGCTTTGGCCTAGGAACTTCAAACTTGTTATGATGATTGTTCATGACCACCAGAGAACCCCTATTGATTTTGGGGTCAAGGGGTCAATTTAGGTCAAGGTCACATTGACGTGACCTTGACCTTGTAGGTAAAAACGGTTTCCGATCAATAATGAAAGAACGCTTAGGCCTAGGAACTTCAATCTTGGTATGATGATTGTACATGACCTGCAGATGACCCCTATTGATTTTGGGGTCAAGGGGTCAAAGGTTAAGGTCACATTGACCTTGTAGGTAAAAATGGTTTCCGATCAATAACGAAAGAACGCTTAGGCCTAGGAACTTCAAACTTGATTTGATGAATGTTCATGACCAGCATATGACCCCTATTGATTTTAGGGTCAAGGGTCAAAGGTCAAGGTCACATTGACCTTGTAGGTACCAGTAATTAACCCTTATTGATATTTTTGTCACTAGGTTAAAAGTCAGTCATAATAAACTGATCACATGACTATTTGGCTTCCAATTATAGGGGGCATACATGTTTTACAAACATTTCTTGTTGTTTCAATATTCTGCATTTTCAATATTTCCCATTTTCAGAACAGTATTTCACATTATTTTGGTTATGTTAAAAGTAATATTTCACATTTTCAATACTAATTATTCCACATTTATAGTATCAATATTTCACATTTTCAAAGTGAATATTTCATATTTTCAGTATCAGTATCACATTTGTTTTGGTTATGATAGAAGAAATATTTCACATTTTCAATATTTGACATTTTTAGTACATGACTATATCAATAGTTTACATTCATTGACTTTAATATTCCAGGTTTTTTGGTATAATTTATGAACATGCATGTATGTTACATTTACAGTAGCAATATTTCACATTTTTGGTGTCACAGGAAAGAAAAGACTATATAGGTTTTGTAAACAAAGTTTAATATATCTATATAATTTAGGCTGAACATGCTGATTAGCAGACCCTGGAGGGTAAATACACAAATTTAAAGGTTATCACTAATGTAACTAAGTATGTAATGAGTTTCTGTATTTTAAGATTAAACGAAAGATTGTAATCTGATTAAGCAGAGATAAAATTAGTTTCTTTAAGCTTTTTATAATCCAGCTGGAAACTGAAAGTTGTTTGCCTTTGTATTAGCAAGCCACCCTTCTACATTCTGTTAGTCTTACTGAGCTTAGAGTGTACAGATGAATGTTCAATTATTAAATTGACTACTCCAAGAATATGTAGAGCTATTGTACTCACCCAGGCATTGTTGTCGCTGTTGCCTTCATCAAAATTTTGAGTGTAAGTTGTTATCTTCAAAACAACCGATGGGAATGGGATGAAACTTCACACACTTGTTCTCTGTGATTATCTAACATGATGGGTATTGGTTGCATAACTCTGAGTTACCTTTTTACAGAGTTATGCCCCTTTTCTTGCATAGTCAAGCCCTGTCTAAATAAAGCTTGAGTTGTATTTTGAAAGGGCATTTTAACAATGATTTACACAAATACAGAAGGTTAAGGGTTAAAAAAGTGTACCATTAATTTTATTAAAGCTGCATGTTTTGATCCAGATGAGGCAACATAAAATTAAATTTTGTTAGCTTAACCTCGGATGGCTCGTATACCTCCCTTACATTGTAGTTTGAACTTATTGCCCAGTCTGTGTCTAAAACAAATTTGCACAGGCCCTTCGAGTTTAAGTGAAAGAAGTTTGACTGTCTTACAATAAAATAGAAAAAATGTACACAGATTTTAAGGAAAGTAAAAAGATTAAAGATTCAAGTAATAACTAGCATGTCATTTGTGATTAATGATTGATTTTGCAGTATTTATTAACTTATTTCTGCAGCTTTACTTCATCTCAGTAGTGGCTATTTTGCATATTTTGATATCATTTCAGTAATTAACATGGATTGAAAGTTCTCAGTTAAAATGTGTATTACTTTAACTTTATTCATTTCTCAAGATTTTTATTACATTTTCAAAATTTTCATAAAATTTGAATGACTCTGGAGACATGCTGCTTTAAGGCTCTTGGTATCCACATTTTGTGACATTTTATCATTCAACATGGCTTATTTTCCTTTATTTTTAGCCCCTTTATGGCATATGTATACAATTGGCAAAAATTTAAATCTCCTTATCAAAAAATGTTGTGCTGCCAATTATTTTGATATAATGTCACTTTAATGATTTTTGTTAAGACGCCTCCCGCGAAGATTTCTTCAAATTATTTATTCCCTATATGCAGTATATTGATAATATAGAGGAATCGACAGTGAAAATCCTCCATCCCCCACTTTGACACTTAAGACTCGAACCTCTGACCTCCTGAGAGTTCCTCAGTTGTTATGTACGATGAGGCAAAATATTTTTACATACAGGTTGCCATGTGTTAAGAGTGCTGGACTGAGCCTGCAAGTACAAAGATGTAGTAAATTGGGAAGATGGACAAAACCCCACCAAAATTTAGGTGTGGTGTTTTGTCCATTCTATAAAATTTTGAGGTGTGGGGTTTTGACAGGTGGGGTTTTGTCCTACATAAATCAGTAAATTGGCATTGCTAATCTAAAAAAACCATTGTTGGTGGATTATGATATTATATACATGTTTACAGTATGGTTTGTTGAGAGATGTGACAGGAATCTTAATTAAATACTTAATAGTCAATATAATTTTGTCAGGGGGGATCATAAATATGACATGGGAAGTGGTATATTACATCGTAATTTACTACA